ATTTGTTTGTCTATTTGTCTATCAAACTAGTCTAATCTTCTCTGATCTTATCTAATCTAATCTAAGCTAATCTAATCCAACCTCTCTAATCTTTCAAGTCTGTCTATTAATCTATCTAATCTATCTAATCCACCTAGTCTACCTTTTCTATCTGATCTATCTAATATGCCTACTCTATCCAAGTGACCTTACCTATCTATTCTATCTAAATAATCTACATGAAAGCAAAGCAGAGAAAAAAAACAGTTTCTCTTGAAACAAATTCCATTGCGGTCCTATCCTGTACAGTACTCTGACTGATGCAGGTTTCATGGAGTTTCCATGGAGTTTCCATGCAGTTTCCATGCAGGTTTCATGTTGGTTACATGCTGGGTTTGCTGATTTAGCTTACTGGTGTGTAACCTCCATGACAACTCCCTCGAACCTGCATGGAATCTGCATGGAACCTCCATGGAACCTGCATCAGGCAGAGTGCATGGTAAAACCAACAAGTGTAGATAGAGGCATCACCTCCATAACGCACATGGAAACTGCATGAAATCTACATCAATTCTCCATGGAACCTGCATGGAACCTCCATGAAAACTGCATCAGTTAGAAGGCGCCATGCAACCATCACGTTTAGACACAAGAAACAACGGAACCTACATGAAACCTCCATGAAACCTACATCAATTCTCCATGGAACCTGCATGGATACTCCATCAAAGAAGCGCCATACAAGCACCAGGTGTAGATACAGGGAACAGAGACTTTTTTTTTAAAGTGGACACTACGTGGAAACCATCAGACGTTTTGACGCAAATTGATCGCAAATCGATCGTAAATCGATCGTAAACTGATCGTAAAAAAAACGAACAAAAACTGTCATAGCATCTGTGCATTTTGATGTCGTTTTCACTAGGTCATCTGTCTTTGTTGATGTCCCTTTTTGTTTCTGCACTGGAAAAGTCAATTTCTTCCAGAGTTTCTATTTATCCTGAGTGTTCACTGCTTGGTGGTTTCGATTTTGGCAAGGTTTCAAATGTGAATTTTTGTTTGATGTCATTTTGATGGAGTTTTATGTCTGTCTCGGTGTCAACTTGATGGAGGTTCCTAACATATAATATTGCAAACTAAGTTAATTAAAAGACGAAACCACCAAGAGAAATGAACTCACTTATGTCATCTTGGATTCTATGATCACCAAACCATATGAATATATGAATTGGCAAGTGCCGTTTTCTACAGGCCTTAGGTTCTTGTCGATGTCATATTGATGTTGTTTTATGGCCTTCTTATTCGTTTTTAGGCCGATGTCAAATCGATCGACAAAGGATCGCAAAATGATCGCAAAACAACGTCGAAATCCTACATCAAAATGACACATTACAAAGTCCACACTTGAAACCCTGGCCTTGCCAACATCAAAACCGCCAAGCAACGAACACTCAGGATAAATAGAAATTCTGGAAGAATTTGACTTTTCCAGTACAGAAACCAAAAGAAACATCAGCAAAGACAGATGGCCTAGTGAAAACGACATCAAAACGCACAGATGCTATAACAGTTTTTGTGCGATCAATTTAGTTACGATCGATTTGCGATCGATTTGCATCAAAGCGTCTGATGGTTTCCATGTAGTTTCCATTAAAAAAAACTCGAACATGTTCCCTGTATCTACACCTGATGATTGTATGGCGTCTTCCTTGATGGAGTATCCACGCAGGTTCCATGGAGAATTGATGTAGGTTTCATGGAGGTTTCATGTAGGTAACCGTTGTTTCTTGTGTCTAAACGTGATGGTTGCATGGCGCCTTCTAACTGATGCAGTTTTCATGGAGGTTCCATGCAGGTTCCATGGAGAATTGATGTAGAATTTCATGCAGTTTCCATGTGCGTTATGGAGGTGGTGCCTCTATCTACACTTGTTGGTTTTATCATGCACTCTGACTGATGCAGGTTCCATGGAGGTTCCATGCAGATTCCATGCAGGTTCCAGGGAGTTGTCATGGAGGTTACCCACCAGTAAGCTAAATTTGCAAACCCAGCATGTAACCAACATGAAACCTGCATGGAAGCTCCATGGAAAATCCATGAAACCTGCATCAGTCAGAGTACAGGATAGGACCACACGGTTTCAAGAAACTGTCTTTCCCCCATTTCAAAAATAAATAAACAAGTACAGAAAAATGCACTAGAATTCAATAATCAATTAAACAATCACGTGAAATTATTGGACATTAAATAAGTGTACATTTTCCGAGATACAAGATGAATATCAATTCAAAAACAAACCTAATCTGGTAGCAATCATTGTTGTTTTAAATTTGTTTTCTTTATTTTCAACGATTTCATTGTTTGCAGGGTTTGATATTTTTGGTACCCCCCCCAAAACCTACCTTTTTTACATTTGTATTGGTATTTACAGTATTTTATGTAGATTATTAGCTGGAGTGAATAAAGCTGAAAAAAACTAAAAACTAGAGCTGAAAACACTGAAGCAAAACTATAAATTTTAGGAACTATGTCTAGCCCCAAGTCTAAACTAAAAAAACAGAAAAAATGAAAAACTGAAAAAACTGAAAAAACTATAATTTTTGGGAACTATGTCTAAAAAACTGAAAAAACTAAAAAAACTGAAAAAACTATATTTTTGGGTAACTATATCTAGGTCTGGGTCCCAGCCATAGTTCTAGAAAAATATAGTTTTTCCAGTTTTTTCAGTTTTTTCGGTTTACGGATGGAATCCGCAGTATTTCCGCGAAGAGGCTCCTTTTATTTATCTCCTGCTGGTTCCCGTTGCCATTGCCTCATGGCTGCGGCTCCTCGTCCGGACAGTCCGGAGATCCATTATGAGGATGATTTTTGGGAGTGCCTTGGACGCGAACCATCCTGTTAATACTTTCCAATGGCATTTGTAATTCTGGTCTGCTTCATCCCTTTCAACGGCTGTCACTGCAATCCTGCCTTTCAAATCTGCCCATTGCTTCAACATTGTTCCCATCCAAGGTCTGCGTGGACTTTGCCACCTCTCACCGACCCAAGCTGGTGGGAGTCACGTCCTTATGAGGAACGGCCACGTGACCGATCCCGGAGTCCAAGAAGGGCCCCACGAACTCCGCCTGGCCCGCCTCCTCCCACTCCTCCAACGGAGATTTCGCCACACGTCGGCACAAGGGTGCCGATGACACCGCCCGAGCTGCTCGGACCGGCGCCGTGCACACCAGAAAGCCAGTAAGTCATGGAAGTGGTTTTGGAAAAGAATGTGGGCACAAAAAGTAATTGTTTTGCTGCAGATAGGTATTCCTTTAGCTGCTTTCTGGTGTGGGCGGTGAGCTATGATGCTGGCATACGCATTACGTGTTTATTAAGACCAGATCAGAGCACTGCAGCGAGAGAAAAATAATGCTGAGCTGCTTGTGCCTTGTCTACATGCACAGTTGCCTTGTCTACATGCACAGCCAAGAATGCGCACTGAAGTCACTATATATCACACCCGTAATTGCTTCAGAAATAATCATATGAAAACCCTTGCTGTGAATAGCCTAGACCCTCCTCACTTCAAGTAACATGTGTTTGTGCTGTCTTGTCACAATCCTACCAATGACTTTGTCTGCCAATTGAACTCTGTACAAAAAACTTGCATCTGCTTCATTTCATGGCTACCAATCTTCTAAACCAACGCAACTGTCTGTGTCAACCTGCATCCTGCTACAGCCACTTCTGCTCATACAATTTCCTGTTTCCGCTTCTGCTGCACAATGGCTGTTGCTCCTGAGGACATGAACTTCGAGCAATTGGAGGCCGTCTGCGATGGGTACATGTGTCGAGCCCTTCCGGCCCCTTATGTCTCAGCAGCTCTCCCCCGTGGCAGTTGGAACCATGTGAACTTCCCCATGATCGAGATTCAGGATGGAGAGAATCCTATGGTGCACTTCCTGGAAGTCGTGGCAGGCTACACAATGCAAACTTCGTTCGAGGACTTGGGGTTGCACTACAAACGAGCTATCACCCATCAGGATCTGCAACTGTTGCCTCATCCATTTGGTCCTAAGATAGCTGTAGCAAGTCAGGTCAAGATGCAACTGGTCATTGTAGAAGAAGATGATGGAACAGCAACCGTCTTCAAGCATTACATGTTCCCAAACAAGGCCAAAGCATCCTTTGTCAAGAACCTTGCCTTTGGAACTTTGTACAAACCTAGTTTCATGAGTCAGAAGCCAACTGTGGGCAAGAAGATTTTGCAATATTGCTTGCAAAATATGGGTGGGAGGCAGTTTCGTTGCTTTGATCTGTCCGCCGAGACCGCGGCCAGTCAAGCAAAGCTGAAGGCTTTTGAGGAGCTGGATGATGATGCCCTCGAATGCGGCTTTGAATTCTTGAGGAAAAATGCGCCCCGAAGCGGCAGTGATTTACAGCAACTCTCTTGGCAAACAAAAGAAATTCGCAAGAAAACATCTCCTATCAATGGATGGCCTGTCAGTCTTGTCGAAAAAGCTTTGCGCTGCTTGTCCACAGAAGGCGCCCTTGCGCGCAAGGAATTCGATTGGCCCCTTCCCTTGACAGAGAAGTTCTTCCAGAAGTGGATCTTGGAGAAGCTGGAGAAGATCTGGAACTTCGATGTGGCTGCTTTAGTGATGCTGGGAGAACCTAACACTGGTAAAAGTCCTTTGGGTCGGAGCATCCTCATGGCACAATGCCGGTATAACCGGACGCGCTTCAGTCGTGAAGAAGCTCCATGCATCCGATGCACCCCTGAGGTAGACTTTCTCCGTGGCGAGGCTGGATCAGTCATCATGGGCGACTTCTTGGATGATCCTGAGATGCAGCATGTGGGTCTCAAAATCCTCAAGTCTTTCTTGGACGTTGGCTTGTACGAGTCCATGGCCTGGGCTCGCTGGGGTGCATCCAAGTGGGTGCAAAACCAACCTCGTGCCATCGCCGCCAATGCCTACGATGCTTCTGTGGATGAAGGCAGTGCGTTCGTTGGAACTCTTCCTTTCAAAAGCTTCTGGGAGATGATCCGTCCGGCAGTGTCTACCAATGCCTCTCACGCAGACATCAATGCTCTTCTCAAACGATCTGTCTTTATTGTGGTGACCAAGAAGTTTGTCTACTTCAGGCCTGATGGTGTGAACGAAGATCCTGTGGAGCGCATTGCGGTCGACCACCCCGATTTCCTCACTGCTGATGGCAAGGAGTTCTATGGCATGTTCAAATCCAACAACAAGACCATCCCTCCAAATTTTGACACTGAAGTCAGAAAGGAGCAGGCGTGGATCTCTGCCATCATGGCGAAATGCTTCGAGTCCCGGCGCCCAGACAGCAAGAACCGTGAGAAGATGCGAGAAGCTCTGTGGGGCTCCAGTTCAAGACCTTCTACATGTCTAGAGAAAGCCCATGCTAAGGCCAGCGCAGAAGATGGATTGGAAGAGCGAAAGCACAGCATCCCGTATGTCAAAATGGAATCACAGGAGTAGCTTGGCTTAAAACATATTCTTGCAGTACCTGCCTCTTACCACATTGTATACTTCAATCTCATGTACCAACTGTTATTTCAAACCGTCTGCTTCAAACTGTCTACTGCAAACCTTCTGCTTCACATGGTCTGCTAAGGTACACAGATGGGAATGCGTTATTGGCTCGTGAAACACGCCGGGATCCCATCGACGTGGACACAGACCGGGCCAGCTTTGGATGGACCAATTGGGATGTCGACAAAGACAAGAAGGACCGTGTGGAAGTGAAGCGGGAGCGCGCGGTCTTTCAGTCCCTTCGTCCTGGAACAGGTGTGATCGATCTCAGCAGTCCTTCGCCAGTCCGCAAGAAGAGCAAGGCTTCACTGGGAGCATCTGTTCCGAATCCTGACGCAGCTGAGCTCGGTCTTCCACATGACGCAGAAGAGTGCCCAGATCCAACCTTGGAGGAGGAACTGGAGAAGGTGATGGATGCTGAGTTGGATATCCTTGGTGAGGAGCTTGCTGGCTTCCATGACTGCAGCCTACGCTGAAAGCGGATAGTCTTCAATATTGCTGTGTGGACTTGATACAGTGACGGGCACTGTGTCTGTGCCATTCAGCATCTTCGCATTCTGCACCCGCTCGCTAGAAAAGAGACTCCATGGTTAGTCGCAGACTCTTCTTGTCATGTCAAAAATACTTAATGGTCACTGCTGGTTTGCATGGTGCTCTGCCTCTTGAAACTGATACATGCTCTACCACATGTGTTGTACGTAGAGTGTATCAACACGTGTCAGTTCAGCATTCCATCTAGCTTTTGGGTTCACACTTTCGATCGATTGGTAGCATCGAAGCCATGCCTGCGAAGCGCTGCCCTCGCCCTTGTGCTAAGAAAGCTGGGGGAAAACCGGTCAAGAAAGGCCATACCAAGGACAAGGGCACCTTCAACTTCTTTCCTGATCCCAAAAGAGGTAAAGGAAGAAGTGTGTTGAAGAGGCCTGCCAGGGCAAAAACGACTCAGTGGAAGAAAGTGCCCTATGTGCGTTCGAAGGAGGCTGTTCAACAACAACGAATGGACAGAACGTCCTGGAAACGCAAGCTCGCAGACTTGCTGCAAGCTACTGATGTTCAATTGGTTCGTCTACTTCGTGAAGATCAGCTTCTACATGATTGGACAGGCAAAACATGCCCCCGTTGTGGCAGAGGCCGTTTGTCAAAGGCTCAACTGCTGCTTGGCGCCTCAATGCCGCGACATCGGTGCAACCGCAAGGGCTGCCAGGCATACATCAACCCTCATCACCTACATCCAATCTTCAAGGATGCAACTGGTGCTAGTGCCACTCCTCTGCAAACACAATCTGCTTTGCTGTTCCTGTTGCTCAATCGCATCCCGCACCCTGCCATCCATCGCATTCTTCACATCAACCACAAGGCCATTGAGGACATGGAGCACAGGCTGAGCCATCTTCGCAAACGTTGGGTCGAGGAGAAGGAGAAATCCATCCTCTTCGGCAACGCCAAGACCTGGGCTGATGTGGAAGCAGATGAGGCCACATTCAGCAACACAGACTTGCAAGAAATGGCCGAGGACCCCGCGAAGCCGATCATTTGGGAGCAATGGTGCGGCATCGTGCAACGAGGTGCTCTACATACGTTGGTCCTGAAGCGGCTGACTCCTCAAACATCTGCGCCTGGACCAGGCGCAATCCGCAAGATTGAGTGGCAGCCGCTTGCGACCAAGCACCGGGACCGCATCGTCGTTCTTCACACAGATGCAGCCAAGTCGTACAAACTCAAAATGAGCGGGGTTTTGCACGACCATGTCCGACACTGCAAAAAGCGTGTCAAAGTCAAGGGCAAGTGGATGTGGAAATTGCCCACCTATGTCCGCGTGACCACACACAAGGATCCCAAGACTGGTCGCAAATTTAAGACTAAAGGTGGCACGCAAATTATAGACCGTGCCTGGCGCTTCCTCAAAGACAGGATTCATTTAAACCAACATTGCCGAGTTGGAACGCCTCTGCTGCGTGCCAAAATTCGCAGTGCCCAATACGAGTATTGGCACAGGAATGCGGATCTATGGCTTCAAACCGGCATTGTGTGTACATGGCATGTCGCCAAAAGCTTGGCTTAATCTCAGTGCTCCATCCATCGCAGAAAAAAAAATCCTTCTGTCAATGCTTCATTGTTTGCTGCAACTCGCATTATCATGCAAATGTCATGAAAATACAAAATTTCACCACCACAAACAGTCTGAAACATTCTTGTCTGCAATTCCTTTACTTACCACAAGTCGATAAATATGAACGAAATTGTTTGCATGTCTCTGCCTCTGACACACAATCAAAATACAGTATTTCCTCTTGTCTGCAATTCCTCTGCCTATCTGCATGTCCCTGCCCCTGACACACAAGCACCAACATGAAAACCAACATGAAAGTCATAAAAAAGTAGGTTTGGGGGGGGGGGCTAGCATATTTTTTGTTTTTTCTAAGTTTACAAAACCATCAATTCCCAGACTTCCAAACCACCAGCCCAAACCACCACGTAAGCACAAGTTGATGCTACGCTTGGAGGAGGCTTTTTAAACGCTTCCGACTGCTTTTGAATGGCCGAGCTTTTTAAACATGTGGGCAAAGCTCTAATGAGCTTCCGACTGCTTTTGAATGGCCGAATGCCATACAGACTTACTTGTCAGTGCGGAGTGTGCTGAAAAGAAGGTTTGCATTTCTCAATAGCACCAGCGCACTGCCTATGGCCTGGGAAAAGTTGGAGGGAGAGAGGGTCAAGAGGCATCGATGTCTTGCCACATCACAGCTATGTACAGCTATCATAGCTCAAAGATGTGTGGTACATTTTGTCAGTTGCGGTCCGTTGCTGTCGGATTGGAGGCGAGTTGGAGCCTGGTGAAATAGCTCCTGGGCCCTTGCCTGTGAAGGCAGCGCCTCCGGCCCGGCACCTGGTTCTGTGCAACATCTCAAGGAAGTCCAACACTGTGGAGAGGTCGTGTTCAGTTTCTGTGACGGAATGAGTTTTCCTATTTCAATTTCTCAAGCTTTCATCAGAATCTTAACCATTCAGCAGAATCAGTCGAGCCAGTTTCAGTTTTATTTCCAGGAGAATGTTTTGACTGATTCCAAATGATTCCAACATATTTGAACAATGAGTCGAACAATGAGTCTTTCATAGTCTTCCATAGTCTCGTGTCTTGGTCGTTGCACGAGGCGCCGACACCAAAGCAAGCAGCGCCTCCAGCGCCAACTGGACCATGTCCTGGCATGAGGCTGACTGTGTCAGGGAAAGCTGGGAAGACAATGAAAACATGGGACAACCACATGAGAATCACTTCAGAATGTACATATATAATGTATATATATATATATAATATATATATAATATATAATATATATAATATATAATATATATAATATATATAATATATTATATATATATTATATATATAATATAATATATATATATAATATATTTATAATATATATATATATTATATTATATATTATATATTATATAATATATATAATATTTAAAAAATATATATAATATATAATATATATAATATATAATATATATAATATATAATATATAATATATAATATATTATATATTATATATAATATATAATATATAATATATAATATATATAATATATAATATATAATATATAATATATAATATATAATATATAATATATGATATATGATATATAATATATAATATATAATATGTAATTTATAATATATAATATAAAATATATCATATATAATATATAATATATAATATATATATATATAATGTATATATATAATGTATGTATATATAATGTATATATATATATAAGGATACACATTATATGATCAATCTATCAGATGCAATGCATCATGCTGCTGCGAGCCCAGCGCCCATCACGATGGCCGGGTTGACAGGCCGCCAGTGGCTGGTCTTCCAGGTGTGCCGACCATGCCAGGCCTCCGCATTGACGCGTTGAGGGAAGAGCTGCCACTGGCGTTGATGAATTCGGAGTTGCCGTTGAGGGAAGAACTTTTTTGGAATTGATTTGATCCGTTGCAGGACCACCCCAGCTGCGGCCGCCGCTTCCAGGCTTGGTCTTGCATCAGAAAGGCAGAAGTTTGGCATCCAAGAACTTTCAAGTGTTCAGTCAATTCTTAGCTAAAATGTTCAAAACATCCTTTGTGTCAAATGTCGCATTTGGCCCATTGACCAGGCTACCCTGGAGCTCCAGGTGCGCCATGCCTGGAGAATTGTGAATCAGCAGTTTGTGAAGTCAAGAAATAAATCATGGAAGCAAGGTATTAAAAGATGACGCAACGACGCAATGAACCGATCTCCCGAGTCTCCCCAGACATACTTTATAAGGTTTGCATTTCTCAATAGCACCAGCGCACTGCCTATGGCCTGGGAAAAGTTGGAGGGAGAGAGGGTCAAGAGGCATCGATGTCTTGCCACATCACAGCTATGTACAGCTATCATAGCTCAAAGATGTGTGGTACATTTTGTCAGTTGCGGTCCGTTGCTGTCGGATTGGAGGCGAGTTGGAGCCTGGTGAAATAGCTCCTGGGCCCTTGCCTGTGAAGGCAGCGCCTCCGGCCCGGCACCTGGTTCTGTGCAACATCTCAAGGAAGTCCAACACTGTGGAGAGGTCGTGTTCAGTTTCTGTGACGGAATGAGTTTTCCTATTTCAATTTCTCAAGCTTTCATCAGAATCTTAACCATTCAGCAGAATCAGTCGAGTCAGTTTCAATTTTATTTCCAGGAGAATGTTTTGACTGATTCCAAATGATTCCAACATATTTGAACAATGAGTCGAACAATGAGTCTTTCATAGTCTTCCATAGTCTCGTGTCTTGGTCGTTGCACGAGGCGCCGACACCAAAGCAAGCAGCGCCTCCAGCGCCAACTGGACCATGTCCTGGCATGAGGCTGACTGTGTCAGGGAAAGCTGGGAAGACAATGAAAACATGGGACAACCACATGAGAATCACTTCAGAATGTACATATATAATGTATATATATAATGTATATATGTATAATGTATATATATATAATGTATATATATATAATATATATATATATAATGTATATATATAATGTATATATATAATGTATATATATAATGTATATATATATATAATGTATATATATAATGTATATATATAATGTATATATATATATAATGTATATATATATAATGTATATATATATAATGTATATATATAATGTATATATATATAATGTATATATAATGCGTGTATATATATAATGTATATATATATAATGTATATATATAATGTATATATATATATAATGTATATATATATAATGTATATATATAATGTATATATATATAATGTATATATATATATAATGTATATATATATATAATGTATATATATATATAATGTATATATATATAATGTATATATATAATGTATATATATAATGTATATATAATGCGTGTATATATATAATGTGTATATATATATACAATGTATATTGTCAGATTGACACTGGTAGCTTGTTCACTTCCAATCCTAATCCCAGTTGGAACCCTGTCCAGCAATGCAAAACTCCTGTTTTGCCCAATGCGAAGCCACGACCTGCAATCAGTCCAACGCACCCACAGCTGGCCACAGCTGTATCCGCTAAGCGTCACTGATAGCGCTATTGCTCAAGCTAATCCCTCCCTCCAGCCCAGAGGCTGCGGCAACAACTGGTTTCTGGAAGAACCCCCTGGTTCCATGAGGGAATGACCTCAAGCACATGTGAACTGGCCTGGCTTTCACATTCGTACTATCAAAATTTTGTTCATCATGTGCACATTCCAGATACGACTTCGGTGATCAGGATGGTGAAGACAATCACGGACATGATGTTGGAAAAATACCCAGTTGATTACGCATTGAAGACAATGTCAACCTCATCACTGGTAGTTGTCTCCTGTGAGGCAGAGACCATGCTTGCATCATCGAAAGATCTAATTGGGTTTTCAGAACTTCAATCGGATAGCGCATGGACGGCTTGGCTTTTCCACAAACTACCGATGCTCTGAACTTTCGGGATTGAGAGCTTGAAGCCATTTGATTCTGGTTCTTGCATCTGATCTAGCCTTGAGTATTTCATGCTCGTCATGCAAACTGTAGTGACCTTGCTGTAAGCATGTCCTAAGCATGGTATTGTCCATGACTTTTGTCAACGCATCAGCTACTTGAGCGGCTGATGGAACCCATCGGATCTGAATGCCATTTTGGATATGTTCTCGAATCAGCTTGGCTTGAAGTTGAGTACGAAATTCAGTGCAAGTTGGGGGAGCATTACGGTTGATTAAGTCAAAGAGTCATTTACAATCAGTGGTAATGAAATCAGAACGTTCCTTGGGAATATCATTGAGGATTCTTTTGGCAACTTCAGGCATCGGCTGTTTCTCAGGCAGTTCTGGTGTCAACGCTGAAAATGCTGGTGGAAGTCGGAGGAGAGTGCTATCAGCTTGTCTCCAATCACAGCGATGATCACATATCCATGCCCAGAAAAGGCGCACCCAAGAAAGCATATCCACTGCTCCTGCCAGAGCCATTGCTTCGGCAGACAACGTGCTGACTGCTACCTTCTGGATTTTCTTAGAATGCCATACCATTGGATTGATTGGACTGCGTCTATTTTCACCAATGCACTTGTGAGCAGACATGATCATCATTCCCTGATGTGAGTCAGGGCATTTCTCTGACGCAAAGGAGGCATCGGAAAAAGCAACAAACCGCAAATCAGGAACTGGTATGGATTGTATTCGCAGGGCCACATTGGAATGTTGTTTTGCTTCATGGAGGGTTCGATTTGCTTCAACCAATGTGGACACTTTTGCTTTGTTGATTTGGCTTTGAAGCCAACCCAGTCGGCTGCATATGTCAGGTCTCGTGTTTACAGCTGCATACTGTAGGCTCCCTATCAGAGCTCGCAACGCTTGTCGTTCCTCTTCTGTGACGACACTGTCTGGTTGACACCTTCGATCATGAGAGATGGAAATTGCATGAATATCCCGAACATACTGTGACTGGTTCACTGTGATAGTGTAATCAGCTTCTTGCGTGACATGTAAACCAGTGAACACAAATTTGTGCATCTTACGGGATCCAAAAGGAAACTTGGCTTCCAGTTGTTTGAGCTTGTTCTGAAAAGTTTCATTCCCACAGCACAACCCATCATCAACATGAACACCAATCAGACCTTGTGTCTCCTGGGTTTTGGGGTCACTCAGATGGAACAGGCACGGATCAAACGGTGATGCTTGGAATCCCAGCTCCTCTAGGGTCTTCTTCAGTTCAACAAACCAGAGATATGGTGCGTCAACACGCCCATAGGCACCTTTGAGAAGTTGCACCACTTCATCTTGACGGAGCTTGAGTTTCTGTCGCATCTCTTCTGGTGGTTCCATGCCTAAAACGCGATTGCTCTGCTCGCTGCCTCGTAAAAATGCAGTCTGTACATCGAAGCTTTGGATATCCCATTTTCGGCTGGCACAGTACTGAAGGAGAAGCATCCGGGTCAGTTTATTCATTGTCGGACTATCACGGGGAATTTCTGATACTTCAGGATCTTCAAAACCAAGCACAACTAGTCTAGCCTTCGGTTTCATTTTCTGGGATTGTTGGGGTTGATCAGCTGTGGGATCAACTTCTTTCCAAGTTAAAATCCATCGGCTTCGGAGAATGTTGGCTTTTGGGATCTGATTACGCATGATTTTTGTGATAGTCTCGGTACTGATCCAGCTTTCCACTTCTTTCATCTTGGCCTGCCGGAAACGCTCGCGATCTTCAGCTGTGAGATCTGACAATTTCACCTCACTGCGCTGTTGTTTTGCTGCTGAAACAAGGAAAGCCATTTCCTGTGGTTTTGTTTCCTCACGCCAGCGGGTGATGTCTTGAGCACAAATGGGAATCTCTAATTTCCAGCATTGATCATTATCAACTTGGAAAACATGATCGGCTTCCACAAAGAGTTCATCATCCGTATCTGGAATTGGCACTTCCACTGGATTGGGTGGCTGCTCAACATTTTCGGAGGGATCCTGGTTGTTGGGAACTGGTTCACCATCAGGTTGTTCAGAGTTACTGTCACTTATTGGGATTACTGAAACGTTAGGGTTATCTTCATTGGGGATTATTGGAATCTGATTCACATCTTGATTATTGGCAGTGTTAGTTGAACTTGGTGCTTCAGTGGGAATTAAATTGTGATATTGTACTCCGCCATGTGGTGGGATAATGCTTTGATTTGGTGACGTGGAACGTGGAGAATCACCTGATTGATTTTCATTGATTGTGGATCGGTGTTGCCACTCCTCAACTGCTGACAGCGGTCGGAGGTGTTCCGGAGCTACGCGATACAGCTTGCTGCCCATGGTGATCCACACAACATGTGAACTTTCTTGCAACACAACTCGAAGGGGACCTATCCAAGAGCCATCAGCTTCACCACGTTTTCGCCACATCATGACATGATCTCCCTGGACATACTTGCCCCGATTGGGTCTACTCCTTTGGACCAGGGCTCTTCTTAGGACCTGACAATTGTCAGTGGCAGTGAAGGCGCGACGCGCGCGTTCTCGCAGGGCCAGTTCCTCTCTAAATCGGAGACCTTCAGGACGACCATCAATGGCTAAACTGTGGGAAGGCAACTGCATATCTGAAACTACTGAACCGGCTACCCTACTTGACTTTCCAAACACAAGGACTTCTGGTGGATAACCCCTGTGACGGCTCCATTGATTTTTGGTTGCAGTGGCCAAGGCGGTTGCTTGGCTTACTTTTTCAAAGGAATCAAGTGGTTCTTCGGTGTCCATTTTGTTCAAAATGCTTTGCAGTACAGCTCCATGTCTCTCAACCCTGGAATTTTGCCAGTGTGCTTCTGTGGCAATGGTTCGATGTTTGATTGAGTACCGTTGCAAAAATGTCATGAAGTCATTGGAGTTCAGTTCTGTCCCTGCATCCATGCATAGGAGACCTGGAGGTCCGGCCCATTGAATCCACCCCTGGTGAAGCGCATGTATGGCCTGTTCAGCATCATGTGCACGAGTAACCACGGCAGTGTGATACAAGGTACTTTGATCCAACATGTGATAGATGTTATACTGTTGCCCCATCTTATTAGTCCATGTGATACCATCAATTGCAACAACATCTCCAAAATCCCCATGGTCATGTATGGAACTTGGACGAGCTATCTTGGGATCTTGATTCTCAGCACATGTTGAACATTTCAGGTCTCCGATGGCTTGGAGAATTTCACTGGGGCATCCCAGTTGTCGACAGAACTCTGTCAATTTCATAGCTCCCGGATGGCCCAGGTTTCGGTGAACTTTGAGAAGCCATGCCTGAGTTTCTGGCTTCAACATCATGAAACGTGGTCCATGTTTCTGAGAGGCTAGGTCAATGACATGACGATCTATTGATTCGGTCTTTTCTGGTTCGGAAACTCTTTGGGCCACATCCATTGGCTCATGAGTGCGCGGTCGCTTTGGTTCTGGTTCTGATCCTTCGAACTCAGCAGAGCGAACAGCACGGACGTCGGCAGAAGATTGAGACTGCACTGGAACATGTTCGGAAACAGGTATCTCTTGGCCTACAACTGTCTTGGCTTTGGCAAATATGGTCAGACTGACTCTGGCTGGCGTTCCCTTTCGACGCAAACCTTTAAATGTCAGTTTCTCCCAGGGCTCCCATTCATCATCAACAACCACATCTTCATGCTTGCGACGGATGCAAATGCGTTTTGTTAGAGGAGCACTACCTGGTGGAACATTTCTGGTAGGGCCAGGATACCGGTCTGTGCCACGACAAAGGACCACATGTTTAATCTCATGTTCAGGACATAACATGGAAATCTCATGAATGATTTCTCCAGTGTCAATTACCAGTGGTCCAACACGTGGGGCCATTACATTGGCACGTCTCATCACTGTCTGCCAGCTGGCGTCAGCAAATCGCTGTGCAATGGCTTGTGGACTCAATTTTGACATGAGGCGTCTCTTCTTGGTTGGGTGTTCATTGTTATTTTCCTGAGAAGGTGGGTCATCCATTGCAAACACAGGCTTTTCCTTTGGAACTTCATAAAGCAAGATCTTGACTACCTGTCGAGCAAATTTGGCTGGGTACTTCTCAGTAAAAGTGGACAATGACATACGCTTTCCCTCACGAACATCGACAAATTGCAGGCTTCCTGCAGTTTGTCGGTGTTCGTGATCGGGATTGTACAGCTTTCCATGGATGGCTCGGGCCAACGGATCTGACGTTGTTGCTACGTTCAAACGCTTTCGGATGGGCATGGCTGATTCTGGATCGGTCAAGTTGCCCATGCGGCAGAGGTCAAAGCGACAAAGCCTTGTGTGTTCACCAATTTCACTTAGTGGTTGGAGCTGCAACATTTTGGAACTATCCGGCTGTTCTAAGTGAAAATGCAGTGATCTCTGCACCTGAAATCGATACAGAACAATGGCTAAGCTGATCTGCCAGAGGCTTGCAAGACGTTTCTGAAGAATGTCATGCAACCCATGGAGTGATTCATTCCGCCACATAAGACCTATAGGCGGTTTCCACACAGAACCGTGTCCACGCACCCAGGGTCCACATTCAGGGCTGTACCACAGATTCTTGGGATTCTGGGTGGTCAACACTTGAAACATTCTTCGGCGTCCTGCAGCTGTTTGGAGGTCACCTTCTGCCAATCCGAATCTTTTGGAGCGACCACCAATGGACGACATTTGCTTTGTGAGTTCACTGTCACTGGAACACATGACTTCAAACAAATCAAGTTGAGGAAGTCGAAACTTGTTCTTCTGATTTTGTTGAATCACTTGGTCAAGTTCAGATTGAAATTGTTTTACCATACGTTGGATTCGTCGGTGATAACTGTTGTTGGAAACATCATGTGTGAAGTCAAAGTCTGTGTCCAGGGTCATGTTCAAATGCACCTCTTCTGCAAACATACCATGCCGGATCAGATCAGCCTCAGTTGCACTCAGAACTCTCAGTTCTCGGATTTCACCTGCATCTTCTTCATGTGCTCCAGCATCTCGTGCATCATCATCTCGACTTGTCCCATTCGATTGGACAGATGCTGGTTGCTCTGTCGTAGATCTTGCATCTCCTCCTGAATGAAGGGCAGGTGCATCAGGTCGGCTGGATCTGAGCCGTCCGTGGGCATGACATCTTCCCAAACCTCCTGTGGAACGGGAGGCATGCTCTTGTTCTCTTTCGGCTTGGGGCTCTGGTTGCTGGTTTTGGTCTTCACCTGGACATCCTTCAGGCGCAGACGGACATACTGCACAAACATCATGTGCTCTGGTTTGTCGCTCATCTCGAACCTGTTCAAAATGAACTCGGTCCATTGTGCGTCCTCGAACGCCTGAGCATAGGTCATACCCTTCTTTGACTCTCTGAAGGTGATCTTCTCGCTGGCTAACTCTTCCAGAGTCATGGCACTCACGACCTCTCGAGAGATCTGCTTCTTCTGCGACTTGTTGTACTCCTTGAGCTGCAAAGCCAGGGACGTCATGTTCCCCCGGTGTTGAGTCACGTTCTGCGTTGATCTTTGGACCACACACTGCTGAGTCAGTCGGACATGATGGTGACGGGCTCACCGGCAAGTGGGTTCTCAAAACTGTTTCATGGCAACTGACTGAACTTTCAAGCGGAGATGATTGGTCTGTCAAGTTGAGCTCACTACCCCTAAGGCTTCCCTGCGGCTGTTTGACTGTCATTTTGGCACCACGGTCAATTTCAGTCTGAGCCATGCAAGAGGTCTCACCTGATTCACCAGAAAAACTATCATCCCAAAGTTGATTCAAATTCATTAAGAACAGATTCTTTGGAGATCTTTCAAGAGTGAGAAACTTTCGTAAGGCCTTACTCCACATGGTTCCCTCTTCAGTGTCAATCACAGCTTGAATCTGTTTCAAAAACGCACTTGACAGTAAAAAAGGTGTTGGACCTGGAACAACTGCAATTCGGAACCATCCCTTTTGGATCGGGAGCACAAGTGCATGTTGGCTCGTCAGCGTCTGATGATTACCAAATCGAAACACTAAGTGGCATGGTGCACGGTGTGCTTGCTTTCGGATCTGTTCGGGAAGACCCTGCAAAAGTTCTGTCACCTGATGGCTTCCAATCACTGTCTGTGAAGCACCTAAATCAACAATGCCATGGGTACCTGATGACGCAAAGTGTATGTCATGTGAAATCACACTGGATGCCGGGTGATCTTTCGGATCATGCATGTGAGACGTCGAGGGACACTTTACATCATGGGACTTTGGCTGCGCAGCATCACGGTGGTTGGCACGAATGCTCAGTTCATTCCTGAGGGCCATTCGGATGCGTGACATAACATGTGATTTAAATCCCCATTTCTTACCCTTATCATTATTCCAATTATTCCCAAGTTTATTTCCCGTGATTACCCCAAAACATGCGGCTGCACAATCTGGCAAAGGCTCGGGAAATCTCATCTCAGGCAAATGGGAGATCTCGGGCGGGATCTCTGTTGGCACATCGTCGACGACCGCCATGGAAATCGGAACTGTTGATCCATCACTTGGAGGGCCAGTGGACGAGGCTGATTGACGAAGGCTACATTCGGCCTTCCAATGACCCTTTTTCCCGCACAGTCTGCACGTAGAATTAGCTATCCTCTGTGCTAGTGACTTTCCTTTTCCGCCTCCTTTTCCAAAACCTTTCTTGCCCCCACTTTTCCCTCCTTTTCTCACGGGCCAAAATCCTCTGAATTTGGCACGTTCTGTCAGGCGGCGACGTGCCCCCTGATATGAGGAAAAATAGGCAGCTAGGTCTGCATCACTCTGCACTGCTTCTGTCACTGCGTCCTCAAACTGTACCACCATAGCAGCATCTTCATCATTGTCATCGGCTAACTGTGCTAAGGTTTCATCATCCAGTGGATCATCAACAGTCCAATACATGTCATGTTCTTCATCCTCTTCTACTTCATCAACATTGAAGGCCAAATGGTCATAGGTTTTCATGTTCTTTTCTCGTTTGGCACCCGTGTAGTCTTGAAAGAAAGATGAACCTAACATGCGTATGGCTGCTACGACCTTCTTCCATTCCAGTTTCTGTCCAATTTGTTCAGCTCCGGACTCCACCAACACGCGCTTTTTGTCTTCAGCTGAAAGGCGGCTGCCACGAAGCAAAACATACGATCGATTCTGATCCATGTCAACGTCCTTGGTCAAAAGCTCAGTCCAAACCACATCAACACGGGCGATGAAACTGTCACCTGTCTCGTCAGGCTTCTGCTGACATCGATACAAGGCCTTTTCCACCAACTCAAAACGATGCTCAAGGGGAATCTGTCCCCAGGTGCCCCCAACCAATTCCACCAGTTTCTGAACCCCTTTACGGTCATTCACCAAGAGGTCCTTTTGATGCAAATGAAGCTTCTGGTAGGCTGATCCCTTTGTGTTGAGGATCAGTCGGGTGATGAGCTCCAGGATTTTGGTCTGGGGCCATGCTTCAAGCAGTAGGTGAACCTTGCTGGACCAAATGTCCACATTGTCACTTGCAGGATCAAACGAAGGCACTAACAGCGCAAGCTGATTCGAGATGGTTCCACCCCCATCAGTTCCAGCCTGTCCTCCAGATGATTCAGTCATGAATTCTGTGGCGCCTGATCGCCAGGTAGCTCCGCTACCAATGTCAGATTGACACTGGTAGCTTGTTCACTTCCAATCCTAATCCCAGTTGGAACCCTGTCCAGCAATGCAAAACTCCTGTTTTGCCCAATGCGAAGCCACGACCTGCAATCAGTCCAACGCACCCACAGCTGGCCACAGCTGTATCCGCTAAGCGTCACTGATAGCGCTATTGCTCAAGCTAATCCCTCCCTCCAGCCCAGAGGCTGCGGCAACAACTGGTTTCTGGAAGAACCCCCTGGTTCCATGAGGGAATGACCTCAAGCACATGTGAACTGGCCTGGCTTTCACAGTATATTTATATATATATATATAATGTATGTATATATAATGTATATATATTTAAGGATACACATTATATGATCAATCTATTAGATGCAATGCATCATGCTGCTGCGAGCCCAGCGCCCATCACGATGGCCGGGTTGACAGGCCGCCAGTGGCTGGTCTTCCAGGTGTGCCGACCATGCCAGGCCTCCGCATTGACGCGTTGAGGGAAGAGCTGCCACTGGCGTTGATGAATTCGGAGTTGCCGTTGAGGGAAGAACTTTTTTGGAATTGATTTGATCCGTTGCAGGACCACCCCAGCTGCGGCCGCCGCTTCCAGGCTTGGTCTTGCATCAGAAAGGCAGAAGTTTGGCATCCAAGAACTTTCAAGTGTTCAGTCAATTCTTAGCTAAAATGTTCAAAACATCCTTTGTGTCAAATGTTGCATTTGGCCCATTGACCAGGCTACCCTGGAGCTCCAGGACAGAGTCTGGATGTGTCTGGATGATCAATTTGAATCTCTTTGGAATTTGAAGCGCCACCTGGAAGCAGCTTGATCGATCTTCAGTGATTTTAACCGCATTGTTTCGAAGGAGTTCCTCCTGGAGCTCCTACACCTCCGGGAGCTGCACTTGGAGCTCCTCCAGCTGCACTTGGAGCTCCTCCAGCTGCGCTTGGAGCTCCTCCAGCTGCGCTTGGAGCTCCTCCAGCTGCGCTTGGAGCTCCTCCTCCGAATCAATCTCAGGTGCGCAAAAGAATGCAACAGAAACTCAAAGGGGACTGAGCTAATATGACTGATATATGACTGATATGATATCTAGATGAAGTCAGAAGTCGCTGTTTGAGAGAACTAGTAGGTCTAGTCTTGCTTCAGGCTTGAATTCGGTTTTGCACGTAGCTGCATCTCACAGTTTTCTGATACAGCTGGATTTGCAGGTTCAGTTGGAGATCCCGCAGTCCAAGGTTGGCCTGGTTGTAGGCAAAGGTGTGCCGGCTGCAATTGGTTGCCTTGTGACACAGTTGAAGAATAGGTGGACACAGATAAAGAATTGGAAAGGTTATGCACAATTATGCACAAATGAGCAAGCTGACTTGTCGGCAAATACCAAGAGTGAAGACACGCTAAGGCGCTAAGGTTTGTGATATATGTATAGAAATAAGAGATACATGTTTGACACTGCGACACAATCGAACTGTGACCACAAAGCACTTGACAGTAGTGCTTCTCAGAGCAATATTCGATGACAATAATTGTTGGGCAACATAATGTGATGTGTCATCAATTGGTGTCGTTGGACATGCGTCTCAAGCAATTTGCATTCGTGCTTCAGCGCTTGTATTGATTTCACTGCTATTCTAATCCTGCTTCATATCCATTTGATCCTCAGGTAGTTAGTTTTGGAGTGGCCGCCTATCATGCATGTGGAAAGCTTTCTTTAACTTGACTTCTTTAATGGTCAGATGTGAGCTAAACAGAGTATTGCTCCGCACTGATCGAAGTAAGTCGAAGTCTCAAACATTTACAACAGATGTACAACATAGAGTCTTCGAAGAATAGAACCTGGGAGCCTCTCAGGTGGAGCCGTGCTGAATGCTATCAAGTCGTATTCCAAAGCTGAGTTGGAAATCTCAGTATGTGGTCCATCGCTGCCATCGACCAATTTGATCCAATTTGGTGTTTTGTGAAGGAAATCAGTTTTTCAGTCTTCCTTTCAGTTTCTCTTGTGGTGCGACTCTCCAGCTGTGAAATTCTTCAGTGAGGTGCTTCATCGAGCAGCGCACGCCCGACCAGGAAGTCATCTTGGGTCATCAAAGTTTCATTCTGACCGGTTTACTTCGCCTGGCTTCGCCAGCCATTCTGAGACAAACCACCAGAGCTCTGTCTTATGAACTGAATTACTTAGTGATGTGCTAGCCGCTAGCATATACACAATACAACATGTGAATACTGTGTGAATTATACTGGATACAAGTGCATGGACGACCAGAACAGGCCGACAATCATGGGTCCAAGATGCTCCATCCTGAGATCATATGATGTAATTTGTATAGCTTGAGAGTGGTGCATGAGGTGCACATGCGTTCCTTCTTGTTTGATGCTGCTTGCTCTGTCTCGAACTTGCCGCGCTGTGGATCAAAGCCCCCCGCGTCGCGGCCTCTCTTTTTGTCAAAGGCCCACGGATGGGACCGGATGCGAAGACAAGGTCCACTTTGTTTGTTGCTCCTCCTTTTGTGAGATGTGGTGAGAGCAAAGGTCCACTTGGACTCCGTTTGAACTGAAGCGGCAGTGTGTGTAAAGAATAGATTCATAGATAGAAAACTCGAAAATCATTGATAGTCATTGAAACCTGATGAAACCTGTGTGCTGCCATGTGCTGCCTATGGGAAATCATTGTGCTGCATTGCGCTGCATTCTGCGGGAAGGCCATGCTTGTGGCGCGGAGCGGCGAAGTGAAGGCGGCCTATGAGACCTCCAAAGTAATGGGCCGCGGCTCCTTCGGTGCCTGGGCGCGACTTTGGTGCGCCGTTCGTCGCAGTCCTGGGTGCTTTCAAGTTGATAAATTGAAAAGTCGATGGCTAATGATGATTTAAATATACGTAGTATTTAAATGATACATGATACTTGATACTATATGAATATCAATTGTTAAAAGGATGCATAGGTAGATAAATCCTTTCTTGGCTTTGCCAAGGAATCATCTACCATGGAGAGGAGATGCTGCCCTGGCAGAACCTGTGTTGCCCTTCCCATGTCTCAAGTACAGATGCTAATCAGTCTGCAGTGTTTTTTTTACATGCGACCCTTGCGGTGTTGCTGGACCGTTTCTGTTTGCACGGATGTTCTTCGCAAGGAGCTACAGTCCAAAAAGCGGGTGGCGATGAAGGTTGTGCCCTGCAGGCCAAGGGATTCCATTGGTGTCATTTTGCTTCCGACTTTGTTGCTTTGACTTGCGAGCAGCTTTACGCTGCAGGCGCAAAAATGCGGTGCAGGAGGCAAGGTCTTTGACAGTTTATTGTTCGAAACATGATTCGAGCCTCCGCACCTTTGAAGTGAACGTGATCTTTGCAGAATCTTTGCAACTCTGATGAAAGTGCCTCAAGCATCCAGAAGCCACGCAGAATCATTGGATTTTCCATCTTGTCTTCGCCAGGCTGAAACTGAAGCCAGACTGCTCATGTCTTGGAATCATCCACACGTGCTGCGCAGCTTGGGGAGCAAGTGGTTTCGTCCTGCGTCAGACTGTGTTGACATCTTTGGTTTCTGTCATTGGTTTGTAGTTGCAAAAGCTTCCGGGCCGCAGCTTGACAGGTACAAGGATACAACATGATACAACATGATACAACATGATACAACATGATACAACATGATACAACATGATACAACATGATACAACATGATACACCATGATACAACATGATACAACATGATACAACATGATACAACATGATACAACCCCAAGGCTGTATATAATGATTCAGTTTTTTTTTTTATTTTTTATTTTTTATTCCACGTTGCTGAGGTTGCCATGAGTACTTTTTCGAAGGACCAGAAGGCGATGCACGTCAGAAGCATATCATTTGCGGCATTCAACAACCCCAAAAGGGGAGACCATGGATGCTTTATGTAGTGCATGGCAAGACTGCGGCAATGCGTACTTTCAAGTTGTGGTCATCCACACTTTCCTGGATGGAGGCGATGCCAATCGCAAGCTGTCACTTGGAACTCATGGAACAGTTTGAAATTGAGGTTAAAGGTTCAAGGTTAAAGGTATTTGTTTGAAAGGTTAACCTTGTCGCGCAGGTTAGAGAAGGATTGTTGTAATGGTAACGAATTTCCAGTGTAAAGGTTTGCAGAGGAAGATCATATAAGGGTTAGGCGTGGTCGTGTGCTAGAAGCAGCACCTCTTCAGAAGTGCATCGCGGTTTCGGAAATCCGATTTTTGACCTTTTTGACCCGAAGTAGATCCATGCGGACAAAAACTTACTACTGTAGTTCACATGCACAATTTTTACCCAAGGTACAAGCATTTTTTTCACGTTGCACAGAAACCATCCTGATTCCAAACAGACGCGATCAAGGTGGCTGGTGCTTGACCTGATGGATGGTGGCTACTTGTCTCCAGCTATAGAGTTTTTTGATGTTTTTTGTTTGATAATCATACATAGTTACATAACTGTTTACAGAAGGCTGTGCTCGATACTTATTTGCTTGGAACACTCTGAAAGATCTGTTTGCCGAACTTCATGGTTGGGGTACACACGAGCCTTACCCTTGCGCCGAACAACTTGTAATGACAACACAGGAGTCTGTTTGCTGGACATTTTTGAGAAAGGTTAACATTGACATTGAGAGGCTCCTGTCAAAGTCGTTTCACTAAATTACTGTCACCTGTACCACCCGTGAATGGATTGTCTTGAGTGAAAGCACATCTTGAATCACTGTTTTGAGTTTTGTTCGATTTGTTGATTCGAGGTGATTTGAATCGGCTTTATGAACAGCGGCGCCAGGCGCTGCAAGGTCCTTGGGAGGCGTCCTTTGTGCGCTATGTGTCTCGGACAATCCACAAAGAGCAGCGCCTGTCATGATTCGTCACTGGAGTGGAAATGACTGGAGTGACTGAAGTGACAAAGATGTTGCCACCGATTTGAAACCTCCGAGGTCATTTCCTCCATTGGCAGTGCTCTGGATTTCGTCCACAGCAAAGGCACTCGAAACAGCACGGTTTGCGCAGAGCCCGCTGAGCAAACAAGCTGGGTGATTGTCATAGGCTTCGAGTTCGTTGAGAAAAAAGATCGACTTGACAGGGGTGTTGCACCGCGATGTGAAGTGCGCCAATGTTTTGCTTTCAAGCAACTTCGCCTGGGACTCAAACTGCAGATTGTCATGAAGATTTTGTTGAGCGCTTGAAAGAATTATATATTGTGTTGGAAAAAGACAGTCAAACGTCCATTCATTTACTATTTCCATGCGATATGTCATGCCTCAGGAGCGGATTTGTTTGGCGGACTTTGGGCTGGCTTGTCCGATGGATGCTCTTGAAGATGCTCCACAGGTGGCCCTTGGTAACTTGGCAGCACAGCATTTTCTACCACACCCGACCGAACCTCTGGCTACACAACGTCACGCAATCAGATTAAGTCAGATTGTGTAATGGCAAGCACTAAGTCAGCCCGACAAAAATGGGTGCGTGCTGAAGGATTGACGGTAAAGTACTGTATGGTAAAGTGGGAACATTAAGAAAAGAAGTCACTAGGATGGAATGGTTATAGTAGGCAGATGGAGTCATCAGAAGCTTGGAGTTGACATGAGTTGGTCATGTTCGGTATTTTCTCAGCTCAAGGTACTCCCAGCTATCTTCCCCCTGAGATCATTTGTGGACGACCGCACAGTCCTGCGGCAGATGCTTGGTGTTTGGGAGTGCCTAGTCTGCCAGATTTCAGTCTCCATTGGGGAGTTCTGACGCTGAGAACTCTGCATTCAGAGTAGAGAAAATGCACTGAGTCCCCTGAGTATAACAATTTCATACAATTTCCCAATAATTTTCTTCAATTAAATGTGATTTATCTCAACTTTTTCTGCTTTTGCTTTCATTTTCGAGATTTTCGAGCGTTGAGGTAGTCTCCTTCAAGTTGGCGGCCTTGAGAAAGCCCTTCGAGGCTCGTGATGACCTGACCCTCACGATGAAGATCGCCGGGCATCCCGAGTCGTCAGCGAGCCATCACGGAAATTGAGCAGCTTGTGTGACGAACTCCGAACTTCTGAGATTGGGCCATAGGTATCCATAGGTATCCATAGGTATCCATAGATATCCATAGGTCATGTCTCGAGGTCCTACATTTATCATCATCTATCTACATTTCTCAATTTTCATCTTTTTTTTTTGGCACTTGAGGTCAAGGATGCTCCCAATGAGCTGCCCAAGGATACGCCTGCAGATGTTGCCTGCGCTGTACTGGGGCTTCTCAACAAGGAGAGCAGCCTGAAGAGAAATACTCGAAGCAAGAGCAACTTCCTAGAGCGCTGACGCTTCATTAATGTGCACAATATTATAGAATCAATGTCTATAGGCACCACAATTTTGCTCTACAACTACAACAGCTTTTGCCTCAATAGGCTGGAGCAACGCATGGGTCTGGTATTCACAGCAAGGAGCTGGATGCACTCCATCCGTCTCAGAGCCATGGGAAGCCATCGGAAGCCTTTTCCGCCCTTCCCCAGGACCAGCAAAAGCGACTGCGCCCAGCGGAGGCGTATGAGATGACCCATGTCTCATCCATTGCCAGGCCCGAGATGTCCATAGATTCCATAGCAACACCAGCACCATTGCTCTCCATTGTTTCGTTTTCCAAGGCACCCCTTACGCCAGAGAGGAGTGAGGACATGCAACATCGCGATACATCACCGTTCCGCAGCTTTTGCGAAAAACATCAAGGGATTTGAGGCCAATGCATTTTGTCACAAGTATTAGACACCCTGTCCATCTAGTAGAATAGCCCTGGAGACCAAACTTGCAAAAAATCACGTGGGAAATAAATGGAAATTAGGGATTGCATGTCACTGGTGGACAAACCAAGATCATTTGCCTTGAGACTCGAGTGATTTCGAGTGATTTGGAGTCTTTTTGATCTTCGCAACTTGCGTCCCAAAGATGTGGCGCTTGCGTGGCATCGCACGGGTTGGGCGCAGTGGCCTGGCAGCCTCTTTGATGATTTCAGCCCCCTTGCCATGGAGAGATTCTCGAGATGTTCATTGCCAGACTTCGTAGCTTGACTATGCTTGACTTATTTACTTCTGTTACTTGTGTTGATAATTCCTTACTTCTTCGATTTCAGTCACCACGTTACATACCATACTGTGGATGGAAGAAATCCTGCACCAGTTGGTAGATGGTTATCCCGGTATCCGCTTATCCCATTATAATCCCATGATTTGCAGTGTTTCATAGTTACCAGAGAAACAGTTACCAACTGTTCAACTGGTGCACGATTTCTTCCACAGATTTCCACAGTATGTCACTTGTATTCATTTGTGGGAGATGCATTTTGAAGATTGTTATGAAAATGGGCAAGTGGGGTGCAGTGCCAGTGAATGTGAGTGCAAGAAGTACTTGGTCATCGAGTCATCGTACACATTCTGGGGCATTTCTGGGCATTGATCTGACCCCACTGACGCCACACTTTTCAGGAAATCTTTTGTGCGATCCATGGCCACACCACTGGACATCCGATTGGGTCTCACCAAGCCACAGGCACTGCCTGATCTTGGGTGAATTTGGGATGCTTCAGAATGGACAACACATTTTCGCCTGAGAGCCATTGCACATGCCCACACAGAGAATACTAGGCTATAAGACATTCCAAGCCCGCTATTTTCAGATGCAAACATCCTGTCTCCTTCCAAGTTTTTCTCGCTGTGTGACCTCCATCGAGAGACTTCGACTGGGTGTTCCAGCGGTTCTTTGAGGATGTGGCCCACAAACTCCGTTGGGGCATTATTGGATGTGGGCCAATCTCTGCAGACTGGTGCAAGAGTTTGAAGGACGGTGGCTGGAAGGATATGGAAGGGGCCTGGAAGGGTTGATACAGGGTGGCCCGGCCCCACATGTGATCTGCCAAGAAGGTGACGATTGCAGGCATTGTTGAGACTAAGCCATGTCTGCTGTACCAGTTTGATTCTGATCATCATTGGGCAGTGAGAGCGCAAATGCAATGTCATCAATGTTTAGGGCAAACTCCGTTTCCGGAATTCGGTGCTACGACAGATGCCAAGATAGGTACTTGCCGTAGAATGTGATAAGGACCAGTTTATGATAGTTTATGTAGCCAACTGGTTGCCTTTCTTTGTGAAGGATGTGCCTGGTGCGGAGCTGAAGAGTTGTGCTGCCAGAGATGTGCAGAAAGCAAAGCAGCGCCTTGGGCGTTGGAAGTCGTAAATATGTAAATTAATGTAAATGATGGGTTTGGTCCATTGGCATGTTTTTGGGGCATTTGTGCGGCTAGTTGCGATGCAGCATTACTTATATAGTGCTAGTTTTGGTGCGCGGTGCGCCTTTGCCGTTGGGCGACATCAGTATGCAGTCTGCAGGTTGCGTATATATTTGTACATTTTGCCAAGAAAGATCTCTTCAACGTCTTCAAACTTGGGTGTTGGTGTTGTGTTGCGATGCATAGTGTTTGACGCCCAGGTTTGCAGGAGAGCATGGCATTTCCAAAGCTGCTGCTAGCTACAAAGAGCTGGTGGAAGATCCGGAGGTTGACATTGTATACATTGGCACCATCACGCCCCTTCACAAGGAGGGGCTCAGCTCATGACACATGAAGACAATGATGTATGTTACATATGTTTGCCATATCATGACATATATATTTTTGAAGTGTTCGCCATCCATGCTTGGCCTGCAGGAGCAGACGCTGATGGCCATCGCTGCTGGAAAGCATGTGCTCTGTGAGAAGCCGATTGCTACATCACTGACGGATGCTGAGGAGATGTACGCAGCAGCAGAGGCGACATCTCTCACATAACCAGTCAACCCCGGATAGAGTTGGAACGCCTGGGACCTATGATGACCTATGTAGATTATGTAGTCAGATGTAGTCAGGTATTGCTTTTTGGCTAATTTAGAAAGAGGTGTTTGATCCCGAAGAATCAACTCAGAAATGTGTACAGATAATCCCGTCAATACTAAATACCCTCCGTGCATAGCTTAGTATTGGATCCGTTCATTTGTGGCCCATATTGATTTAAGAATACCAGGGGATGATTTAAGAATACCAGTTTTGAGAAACATAGAAATACGAAGCTCAAAGTTGGCATACTGTACTTTGGGGGTTTACAATCAGTCCTGGGATTTGGTGTACATTTCAAAGCGGGGTGTTCCTTAAGTGCAACATTAGATAAGGAAAGCACCATGACACAAGTCGCGGAAGAAACGAAGGTCATGTTCACACTTGTTTTCCCTGTTCTACATGCAAAAACTCAGACCAACTGTGCCAACCCAAGCTGTAGAGCCTTGCCTGATCAGGCAAAAGGAGTTGCACTTATTGAGGGCCTGTGGACGCGCTACTTTCCTGCCGTGGAGCATGCACGCGCTGCTGTTGAACTAGGCGTGAAAATACAGTTTCTACAATTTTCTGCGCCGATTCTGCTGTAGACTTTGACTCCCCCACAATATTTCTACTGCCGGCTGTGTCTAACTATCAGCTGCACAGACAAAGACGCCAAGAGCAGCAGAGTTGATAACCGCCTCCACTTTGACAATGTCAATTTTTTTTCTTTCAAATTTTGGGGTTGGTTTGCCAATTAAGAAGTCCGGGAGCAGATAGTTTGAAGACTTTCGTCGGATGTGCAAGGTGTCATTGGTGAGGTGCAGATGGTGCAGGCAGCGGTTGGATGTGACCACTGTCAGAGCATCCGCAGTGATAACTTGCATTGTTCTGAAGGTGGACGTCCCAAAAAACAGAGAAGCAACGGACTGGCACCGTACTGGGGATCGAGCCTTTTTACCTGTTCTGGCACATCCTGGCCCCACAAGTTTCAATTACATCATGCAATATGAAATATGAGCCATTTTATGGCAAGGCGGACTTTCCGGAAATTTGCTATGCACTACAGTTGCTTGGAAAACAAACTAGCTGGAATGTGAGCTTTACCCAAGACAGTCTTTTGAACCAGTTTTTTTTTTTTTGCGTCGTGTGACTATGTGACTGTGAGACACCGCAGTCAAGAGAACATCCAGTGATATTCTTCAACAAGATGAGCTCTTCCGAGTTAAATCCGAAACAACTCCGCAAGACAAAAGCCGAACTTTTTGCTCACGAGTTTGTCGCTGAAACCCTAATTGTCTACATCTGACCGATTTTGTTTCTTGCCGCCAGAGTCTTTCAGACCCCTTTGTGCTTCCACAAGTAGAATCGTCCAATGCTGAAGCGTCCACGAGGTATGCGCCGCTCTTCTTTGGTTCCACCGAAGCCACACAGGTGGCCTCTGCGGGTGGCCCATCGGGTGCTGGTGCAGTACTGCGCTACGGGAACCAAGGAGGGTTGGGTTCTGTCCAATACCAAGAATTCCATTCAAACATGTCCAAACAACCTCAATGAAAAAATAATGCAAGTTGGGCTTACATTTCGAGTAAACCACAAGTACATAAAAACTTGTTGCGCCTTGCCGGGTTTGCACTATCCTCTGCAGGAGCCGCTGTGCTGTCCTTTCCTTCCTGGCGCTGCGAAGTGCCAGAGGTCTGCGAGGTGCTTCGCCTCAGGTTGAGTGATGCTATCACTTGGCAAAATTCTACCAATCGAAAGACGCAAATGTGCGGAAGACCTCTCCTCGAAAGCCTACTACAGTTTCTTTGGGTCATTTGGTCACTCTGTCCATTTTCACGGTCACTGAAGAGTGTACCCTTTTAGGAGTGATTCTTAATCATATGAACATTTATGGCACTTTGAGGGGTATTTCTGGCACTTGCCACCCACCCAAAACATGAAGTGCGATGTATTTTTTTTGGTGAGAAACCTAGAGTCACAGAAAGATAGGCTACTAGGTCAAAGTAGCCTGGCGCAGGCACTGCGGCTTCCTGGAGAGTCGTTTGCAGTGCAACAGTTGCAATTCTTTGACTACCACTGGATCCACTGGGAAGTAGGTCCTTTGTATTCATTTGTCATGGTCTTATGAATCGGAATTCAAGGAGTTTTGCGTACATTGTCTGAGCATGTTAGATATTCCTTGGATTGTAATGGGTTGTATGATGAGCAAATTTCTTTTGAGCCGGCCTTGCGTCTTTGATGTTTCACGTTGTGATTCACTGGAGGTGATTGGCACGAAAGGCCGAATTACATTAGACGATTGGGGCGCTCATCCATCTCGTGTGACTATTCGGCTCACAACCGAACAATGCTGGGATGATCCTTGGCTGATCTCGAACATTTTGAGATTGCGCCTCAAAGATCCAAATTGAGGGGCCAGGAGCTGCTTTGACACGTGAAGTATGTCTGTCACTAAGTCACACCTGTGCCTCCACATTCGATGCTGAGGAAGCACAAGGGCATACAGCTACTGCACAGAATGGTGTCAGGAGTGGGAAGACAGAAGTGGTGAATTTTATTTGTACGGGGATGATCGGGGATGTGATGTGAATGTGAAGTGTCAATTTTACAGCTATTTGACTTATTTGACTTGCTTGGGAGGGACAACGTTCATTGAAACATGCCAACTTTTCATATTGATGCTGACTTGAACGCTTCGAAAGTGCGTGACTCCCTCCAGGCCACACACTGAACAAGTCACCTACCCAGTTCCCGAACCAGCACCTGGTCTGAGACGCGACAGAGACAGTTGAAGAATCCCCTCCCCTGGTTTATCCTTTTCACATTTTTTTCATGGGGATTCCACGCAGACCTTCACCAGTAGCAGCAAAGGCAGGCCTGCCTGCGGCGGGTTGGCATTTCGTCAACCAGCATGGTTTTGTCTACCAGGTGCCTGATTGCCATGACCCGGGTGAAACGGTATCCAATGAGTCCTAAATTCGCTTGAGCATTCTTAAGCCATCTTAAGCCGTTTATGAAGCCTTTTTATTCAACAAAGACAAAGACATTCATATACTGAAACGGCTGAATCGTGTGACCCCCGCCATCTCCATCAACTGAGTTGCAGGCGGAGGCAATCCATCGCTGTTTGGCGGCAGGCCTGAAGGAGTGCCCGCAGCGCACAACTCAGTGAAATCTATGTGCTGTAATATGTTTGAATGTATATTATATACATGATTATACATGCACTTTTTCCCGAAAGCGCCTCAGCATAGGCTTCTCCTTCCAAGAAAGGAGCTGAGATAATACATCTTCACATCTCACATCTGCATTTCTTACATCTTCATATCCCATATACATCTTCACATCTTATGTCTGCAGGTCTTTCATCCTCACATCTCGCAACTGCATATCTTACATCTTCACATCTTCATATCTTAAATCTTCACAGATCTTACATCTTCACAGATCTTACTTCTTCAGATCTTACGTCTACTGATCTTACATCTTCACATCTTAAGCAGATCTTACATCTTCCGATCTTGCACTCACTCTCTCTCTCTCTCTCTTTTCCCTTCTGCTAATTTCTATTCTCTCTTAAGGCAGGGCGGTGACACGAAATGAGGTTCGATCGTCAAAAACTGAGGAAAAATGCGATTTTCTCTGGTCCGGCAATATAATTAGCCTCGAGCACACGGACCAGTCTGGAACGCAATCGTGATAATATGTGATATACAACCGCACTTAAATGAACATCTATCACGTTATACTGATCGTATACAGTTATTTTTACCCATACTTGTTTGAATTGAATGTAGTAGTACATTGATTAAATAGCATGATCGGTTTCGTCCCGGCCAATGTTCGCCCCTTGTGCTACCAGACGGACCTAGATAGCTGTTCGCAGCTGCCTTCGCGTCTACTGTTGGCTCCGGAAGATGTTGCAGGGGATGATGATCTCTGCCATACAGGGGGGGAAAGACGAAGCAAGTGAGACCCACAAGGTGTGTGTAAAAGCGTCTGCGTGTAAAAGGGTGGCTGTGTGTGCGCGTGTGTGTAAAAGTGTGTGTGTGTGTGTGCGCGGGTGTGAAAAACATGCGTGTAAAGGCGTCTGTAAAGCGTCCGTGTGTAAAAGCGTTTCTGCGTAAAAGTGTCTGTGTGTAAAGGCGTCTGTGTTACATCTTCACATCCTACAACCTACATCTTCTCCATCACTCTCTTTCCAGCACCCTGTCATCTTCATACAACCTGTCCTTCGCAATGTTTATCTTCTTGCTTTCTTTCTGTGTAAGTAAAAATGCTTCAATGTGTCTCTCCAGTTTTTATCTTGGCATCTGGACAGCTTGTCTCTTTCTTCTTTTTGATAATCGCTTGCAACATTTTCATTCGTTATCGTTCTCCTTTTTTTCTGCCTATAACGTATCTGATACATGCTTATTAGATGCATTGCATCGTTCTAACCACTGGATAACTTGCTCCTCTTCGTTCTCGGGCCATCCGTCGTCTAGTTTCATCTTTGTATTTATCTAACAAACATCGCTGAATGAGTGAGTGCTGCTCGAAAGATTTAACTGCAAGACGCACGGTGCTAGTGCAATTTCTGTAAAGAATCTTCTATAGTGTCGAGCAGCAAAACTGATTTTCCATCCACGATTCTCCATGATTCTCCTTTCAGGGTTCGCTTTGTTCGTTTTGTGCTCTTTTCAAACCTCAAGGTTCACAAAGGCTGAATCGCTTCGAATCCAGCGCCTGTTGGATGAGATTGAGAAGGGCATCACTGAACCCTGTAGATAGCGTAGATAGCGGCCGAGAGGCCCTTTGAAAACCTGAAAAGGTAACACTTCCCTTGCCGCATTGCTCCGGTTTCAACATGTTTCAACGACATTTCGATCAATGGGTCGGCATCAAACCAAAATTCAAATCCTGAAGAATGCCAACTTTGTTGAAGATCGCTGACACCTGGAGCACAGGCAAGATGGGCGACTGATCAATGCTGAGGTAGCTATGCTGTAGTGCCAAACCTATATGTTTTACCTATTTGCCCAGTAGATCGGCATTTTTAAAGATGCTGCATGTCGTATTCCCTTTGGGAACAAAGACTGACAATTTTCTGGGCTGGCGTGGTCGGCTCCTTACTTGGAAAAAAATGCTGCATGCGCGCTGTCAGACACAGTTATCCAAGAATACTCTTTCAGAGTCTTGTGAATTGCCACTTGGATCCATTGGGATCCACTTGGCACTTCAGCCAGGAGGCAAAGGGTTCGAGAGATTTCAAGAGTGCCTGGGCAGCCCTGTGCAGGCTGAGCAGACTGGCACAAATGGTGAAGGCACGCGCTCATGGCCTGCACAGGCAGGACTGGGGCTGGCGCTTCGGAGGCAAACCCACATTCATTACAGTCAGTATTGCGGAATTGTGTTTTGTGTTTTTTTGTTGTATGCATTGGTGGAAAAACTGCTGCTGTTCGTGCATTGCATCACAGGTGTCACCCGACGATTCTTTGACTATTCACTTCTTGCAAGATTTTTGCCATAATATACTTATACAATTTCACGTGTTGTCACATTCTGTCGGTGAATTCAGATGAGTCATATACAAATATATCAGTGACATACTATTTTTATACACATCGCATTGTAGTCCGTGTTGCCCATGACAATCTGCCAATTCCTGGAGGTTTTGAGGGGTCAAAGCAAAGTAGCTCATGCTCGATTTGTGAGGCACCCATCAGATGGCTGGAGGCGCGGCTATGGCTATTCTGAATCTGTGGGAAAGCTGCCTGGCTTCTTGCAAGTTGCCGTTCGCTTTGGCTGAGGTTTGCTCGCTTATGATGGAACATGATGGAACTCGAGACCTCCTATGTCCAGCGAAATCACTGGCTTCGATGGCAATGGGGCGAGACAAGGTGACACCATTCTTCTAGCTGAGCACTTGATATATAACGATTGCAAGAGGACCCCTAACTAGCAATGCTCAGTTCCATAGCTAATCACACTGAGCATTTCTGCAATGAAATTGGAACAGTGCAAGAGCTTGATTCCTGATATTCATGATCTTTGATGATATATGGATATTCTATGAATTTCTATTGTTTAAAGTCTTCTTGCAGTGTGCCTGGTTGCCCGGAGCGAAACTTTGAGAGAAAGGACACAGGAGCAATCTCTCCTGCATCCTCTGATCAGCGGCAGACTTGTTTCTCATCATGGTCTTGGCTTTCGACTTCATTGTCACGAACGCTCCTTGAGACGCAGCACATTTCTCCGTAGTCAAAAAAACACTTGGGCCCTGTGCAAAACTGTTGAAGCAAGAGTCGGAGCATTTGGATATGGGGTTGAAAGCCACTTCTGCCATCTTCCCGATGAGGCTTCACCCACAGTAGATTGATTAGCGGCTTTGTGTCCGAAAAAATGGGCGACAAAGGCTCAGATCGGCTCCAATTGTTTCTTGGCATTGGACTTGTTCTGGAGCTTGCAGAGCTTTTACGTACCGCATTTGTTCAGTTTCGTTCCATGATAATACAATGTGTATATCACTATATAATCTATGTATACGCTAGGCAGAGTGTCAGTTTCTTTCTCTATATTTAGTATTTCTGATTCAAGTGCTGAGTTACTTTGTGTCAATTAAGCTCTCTTGGATGCATTCTTCGGAACAGTTTCCAAGCTGCCACTTTGAACACTTTGAACTGGTTCATGGGCCCCAACAGTGTCATCCCAGTGCGGGGAGTCGCCCGGGGTCGCATGGCCTTCACCCCTCTGAGAGGGACCTCTCGGTCACCAGCTGACCAGCTGAGCCGAGAGTTTTGACAGGATCAAGGCGGATAATGTCCCCAAGGTGGAAAGTTTGTTGAAGATTTCAAGATTTGTCAAGATCTGTCCAGATTCCATCAGATTCCCCACTCCCAAGATCTCGCAAAACACAGTTTCAGCCCAGATTGCGAAGAAGGCTACATGTGGATATTCTGGGATAAGAATCCAGATACTGGTTGTTGGTTGCTGCAGTTTTGTCAAGAATGGGTTGCTGGTTGAGCCGTGAGCTCAGCTCTTGTCCATTGACTTCTTCTTCCGTGTTTTATCTAGATCCGTGTGAAGTATGAGAGCATGACACTCCATTGCTCCATTGCTCTATTGGCTACCCAGATAGTATCAGGTTCAGCAGTTCAACGGATTCAAGCAACCCGAAGTGTACACATGAGCATTGCGTTTGTAAGTGCAAGTATAGCAAGCGCTCACCAAAGCTCGTAGATAACGATTTCGTCAATCTCAGAATCCAACTACTTAAGGGCGGGTATGAGATGTTAAGAATGTTAAGAATGTTAAGAATGTTAAGAATGTTACAGAAAAATCAGAGAATTCAGTGTTGCTCGGGGGCAAAGACGACCCGAGACAGCACAGTGCTTTGAACATGTCAGATGTCCTCAGCTTGGGGAAGCTCAGCTGAGCATCTTATTGAGCACAGCAGCTTCTGACACTTCGGCAGCCTTGCGGCGGTGTTGGCACGTTTCAGGTGTGAGGTTCCATGAGGTTCCAAACGTTTCAAACGGTGCACCTCGGAGAGAGAAAGCACCCTTGGCGTAACGCTTGGCGTACAGCATTGAGGCACTGCGTGTGCCTCCAGCGGAACATACTTGGTATATCCTCTTTGTATATTGGTACCAATCCTTTTGCTGCGGGCCTCTTTGACACCTTTTTGAAGCAGAATCCTCCGAGTTCGCTTGCCAAGCTTTACAAAGGAACGTTGAAATTGGCAGCATGAATTCAAGTAGACTCGGTTTTCCACGTCCTGTACACAGGAGTTATGGTTTGTTGGCACAGCTCTTATAAATGCCAATATGTAGATGCAGCAATGGCAAAGGGAGATTTGTTCAAGGCTCTTCACCAGCATATTTCTACCGCAGCAGGCTCTTCATTCCGTCATTACCCATGATGTACCAATGACAACATCTTGAAATGTGCTTGACTGCCCGTGAAAGAGTTGATAATTCCACAGAGAAGTTTGGTTGGCAACTAGGAGGATAGATCAGCGGGCTTGAAACAAGACAGAGCCGCTGCGCACTAGTTTGGGCCTGTCTCACGGAAAAGTCAGCACATCGGATTTGCAGAACAGAAGAGAAGTCAAGTATTGCAAGCAGGCGCAGTGGTGAGCAGTGAAGGCAAACTTCTCAGCCAAAGAATGATGCCTTTTTGATTGAAGAAAGTTGCTGTTTTGAGGAAAGAAAAAGCGGCACTAGAAAATGGCAGCGGGTGGATGTTTTCGCAAACTTTTTCTTGGCACCTTTTCTCTTCACCGCATGCTCATGCACAACCACGCACAACCACGCACAACCACGCACAACCTAGATTCTTTGTTGCAGTGGATCGTGGTTTCTCTCTCTCTCTCTCTCGCTCGCTCTCCCTCCCCCTCCCCCTAAGTTGGATCAGGTTGACTTTGTCGAAGGATGAGGAACATCTCTATTGCATTTCATTTAGTGTGTTCAGTTGGTGTTGAACTGTTGGGTGCATGATTTTCCTCAATGGGACAGCCATCAGCTTGGTCGGCCTGGTCAGTTCTGGTCAGCCCGCAGGACAAAGCCAGGGTCACTGTGAGAGGCTCCGAGAAGGAGGTGGCCAAATGCAAGCAGACAGTGGTGCGGGACCTTGGACGACCTTGGACGACCTTGGACGACCTTGGAAGACCCTGAACGAGTCAATGCCTGTTTAAAGCCTGTTTAAAGCCTGTTTGGCTTGTCAATGATTGTTGACAAGATCCCGAAGCTGATCAAATTCCAAGGCTGAAGAGGGACATTTTTCTAGTTGAACTTAAGCAGAAATTTCGGGAACATATGTTTTTCCGACGGGAGACCGCCACGTTCAGGAGAATGTTTTGCCCCACCCGGAACAAGTAACTACGACGCAGCACTTCATGTTTCTGCTTCTTCCATGTCAAGCTGTGACATGTAGAGCGATCCTTGCACACAGCGCTTAGAGTACTCAAGTGCCTTGAGTCTTGAACGAATTGTGTTCGAATCAGGGCCCCAGCCCATGAATTCAATGCAAACATTCGGATGTTTGACACAGTTGCGCGCACTTAGAAAGCTGTGGTCGATGGTGCTTTGTCACTGGCCACGTCCGGCACTCAGTCGGATCATGTGCCAGATCCGAGAACAACATGTTGGAGAACCACAGAGAACCAGAAATTGCAGTGGGCATCGACGTGAAGATCCAAGGAAGAAGTTGGCAGTTGGATGCAGTTGGGCCATTGTGAAATCTTTGGTATATCTTGGTTGCGAGGTTGGGCTCACTGGCTGGCGTGAAGGGCTTGAAAGCTGCGGATGAGAATGAGGCGTCAGACAAGATTGGAGCGTTTAAAGCACAAGATCTCTCTTGCAGCATTTGCACATAATCACAAAGGCATATTTGGACCATTTGGACTTCTTCACAGTGCGACAGCAGGGTTGTTTGGGCACGCCACCTTTCGTTACTGTGAAGCCATTTTCAAAGTACCAATCCCCCTTTGACATGTCATGTAGGTAGTGGGCATTGGTTCCAGACATCACCGGATTCCAGCATAACAAGATATTCAGTTTGTCTCATGCTTTCTCCTTTGCTAAGTGTGGATTGGCAAGGAAGTCACTGCACCGGGGCGACAAGGACGGACTCGTCGCTCAAGCTGTCCAATGGATTCCCTCAGCAGACACCACCATACACCACCAATAGATCTCAATGAAATAAGAATTAAGATGAAATAAGTTTCGTTTGTTTTTCTGTTTTTCAAGAACGAGCCTCTCTCTTTGCACAGCCACAATTGACCTACTAAGCCACTGTTCTTTGCACATATTTTCCAAGATCATTTTCCAAGATCATCCAGGCTCCCAATTGCATCCCCTGTTTCCAGTACCGTTTTGAAAGGACCCCTTTCGCCTGCGGTGTCCTTACCGACAATGCCTGGAGCACCGGTGAAGAGCTCAACTGAGCTCAAATGAGCTCGACTCGACAAATCGTTGAACGTTGAAGTATCTAAAGCACCAGTCACATTCCAGTCACGTTCCAGCCACATTCCAGTTTTTCACATCTGACATCTTTAACCCAGAGCGAGTTGAGAAAGTCAATCAACCAAAAGACTTCCGTATTAAGCCGCCTGTGCCAGTCTCCGGCTGTGCTGGCAGCAATGGCGGCGGGTGCAAGGCCTTTAGCGGCTCAGGGCTGAGATGGAGCAAATAGCATGAGCAGTCGGCAGCCGAAGAGATAACAAAAGGAGGCAAACACAATTTAAAACATGTGTGCGGCATGCGTGAGTATATCCAACGGTGCTGCGAATGTAGCGCCTTGTTTAGAGGCAAGCAAGAAAGCAAGCAAGGGTCAATTGCTGCCACTAAGTCACTAGTGTTCTGGTTCGCACACATACAGCATTTGGCAAGCTCGCAGTTTCTATACTTAGATTTCGGTAGCAGAAGATGTAGATTGCACATCATACATGCGCGTTACTGCAAGCTGTTTAGTATCTTCCCAAGGCTGGTCAACTGCCTCCAGTACCACCGCCGCACTTGGCAGAGCCTTGGTTTGCACTTGGAAATCGCACTTGAAAAGATGCCCTTTCGAAGTGGCAAAAACAAGCGCTTTGTCCCAAGAACATGCTGCACTGTGCAGTACTATACTGTACTCAGATAAGAGTCTGCGAATGGTTCACCAAACAGGAGCTACCTAGAAGAACAAGATGGCTTAAGTGCAATTTGCCCTTTCTTGCCGCTTCTTGAGCAAATATGCAAATAGACCAGCATGTCATGCTCTGCCAACCCTTCTCATTGACGATCACATTTCAAGCTCATTTGTTCGAATTCAGAGCCAGATGTTTGGAGAAAAACACATTCTATTCTTCCACTATCTGGTCCATTTTCCGAGGCTGCAGCGGCAGCGGCGGTGCCAGGAATGTCGTAGACTTAGGAAAACCAAGAGGACATGGGATCAAAATTGGATTAAAATCATGAAAACACTTGAAAACACATTGGTGCCACAAGAGGAATGGACCGACAATCGTGCAGAGGTAGTTTGACTCAGCAAACGGCTGAGGCCAGAGAACCACCAGATGCAAGCGAATCTCAATGACTACTATGCAAGGCCCTGGATTTCAAGATGTGTTTGAACGGACCATTTCCAACAAACGCGCCTACGACAGCCTTAGCTAATATGCATTGAACTAGCGCCCATATCAAAATCTTAATTTTCCACGACGAGCAGTGGATATATTATATATTGATATATATATAAATATGTATATGATGGTATATGTGTAATATCGGTCAGGTGGTGGACCTCTTACACACTGGGAGAGGATCAGCCGGAGGACATCCGTTCCAGCTGCACAAAGTTGGTGTAGCACAATTGAAGATCACAAGTAAGGCAAGTACAAAATGAGCGAGTACAAAGTGTGTTCTGAGGACCCTTAGTAATCTAAAGTCTTGGTGGACTTCCTGTGAAAGCATGTGGAATGTTTTACTCCCAAGTAATTATGTGTCACTGTAATTTTTGCCTTTAGCCCTGATAGAATTTAATTGAAACCAGACAATCCGTTGCAACACATATAGAATCACACATACGTAATAATATATATACGTATATGACTTCAAGTGCATCAGCAGATGTGAGAAGCGCCGCTCAAGCTGATGGTTCAAGGGTTTCTGTCCGTCGTCCAGGTGTTTCTTGAAGGGGCACGGACAAACGCTTTTGGCTGGGGCTGTCCTCTTTACTGCACTCAGCCTAGCATTTCCTCCTTCCTCTTGGTTCTAATCCTTGGATTTTGCCTTGGGGTTGTTCTGACCCTCTTCACCATCTGGACTCTCTGGACTTCTCTTGGTCACCTTGCCTCTCCCCAACCTGCTGCATCGCCTGCTGAGGGCCATCCTGTGACTGCTAGGTACTCGGCCTTGGCTGAGTATTTGCATGAGCCGACCAGACGGCGAAGGAGAGATTGAGATCAAGTGCAAGCTGGGCGACTTGTCCATCACGGTCAAAGGACCTCCTGCATCTGCCACTGCCTTTATCAAGGATATCACTGCTCGTCAGTTGCCTGGCTCTTCTTCTGAGCGTCCTCCTTCTGAGGGATCATTTGACTTGGTTTCGGAGGTGGATCCTGTGGCTAGTGTCTCTGGTCGTCTTGAAACTCGAGACCAGATCGCATCAACCTTTGCGGCTTGTCCAGCCTACTTGCAAAAGGCCGGCGAGAAGCTCTGTGGCTCTTCGACAGTGGGCGTGGAGCGAGCAAAGCGCGCCTGGGTTGCTGGTCAGTGGGCGGCGGCGGTGGTGTCTGGCCGTGTGCATTCTCCTAACCGTTCCCCTCAACTTGATCTTCGGCCTCGTTACTACGTGGTCATCAGAGCAGAGGGCCTCAGCACGCCGACCATTTTCAAGTCGGCTCGATCCTACTGGGCAGTTGTGGGGGAGTTGGCAACGTCATCCTCTGTGTCCCACGCCTTCCCATCTGAGCAGGAGGCAAGGATTTACCTTGCAGGGGCATCCATCGCTGACTTTGACATCAGTGCATAGGGATGGACACCATGGATGGAATGTTGGATATGAGCGCCCTGGCTGTGGCGACAGATGCTCTGGAGCCTTATGTCCTGTCTTGGCATCTAGGAGCTCCGGAGGATGGCGATGCAGAATGCACAGTTTTGGTTCTGATGAAAAGGGAAGAAGGCATCCTTTTAGCAATGCCTGCAACCTTCTTGCCAGAGGACGTGGTGAAGGCTGGAAACGAGGGGGACGAGGCCGCGGTTTTTGGCCCGTCCTTTCACTGCGTGGTCCCAAGTGGTATACAAGATGGAGGGCTGGTGATGGCCACTGGCGGCCAGGTCGAAGTCTTGGTGGTGGATTGCCTTCCTCAGGTGCTTGGCCACATGCGCAGGCCCTTGGCGTCCGAAGAGATTGCTTTCAACTTCGACGACGATTCACCATTCAGCCTGCCTGCTCTAGACGCCCTTATGCCTCAAGTGCGAACTTGGCTTGCTGCTCTACCCGATCTGGCGGCATACTACACCCCCGAAGAGCTGGAGGACATCGAGCAAGAGTCGGGGCCACCCAGGGCATCAAAGCCTCCAACAAGAAGGGCTACGCCTTCCGCCGCTGGTCCAAAGCAAAAGCGCCCGACGACGGCTTCGTTGGCTGCGGAGATCAAGGGCATAGTGGAGTTTATGCCAAGGATTGCGGAGCAGTTGGACACCATCACAAAGCGGCAGGACTTCATGGAATCAAAGGTCCTGCCATTCCAGTCAGCCTCTTCCATTGCCTCCGGCCTTTGGGAGCGAGTTTGGATTTGCCCCGGGCATCTACGCTGGGATCAATTGCGAAGGCGGTTGGCACTCCTCCTCGCACAGCAGCCTTGCAGACCCCTGGTTTGTTGGGTTCCCTGATGGACGATGCCCGCCCGGAAGAACTACAAGCCTTGGAATCAGAGAAGCAGGTCCTGGGAACAGGATCAGACCCGAGCGGCGACTCCAGATTGGCCTTGGCGGTGCTGGAACAGTCGAAGGCGCTGACATCACTGGCGGCTCAGATTGCGGCACAACATGGAGATCCCCTGACCGAGCTTTCAGGCCCCTCGATGGGTACTCGCGGCGCAGCGGGACGGGCGAAACTTCAGAACGAGTTGGCCCTTCACAAGGGGACATTTTTCACGGCTGTGTTGCACCAGATGGCACGAAGGATGGCACCTACCAGTTCAGTGGATGCACCCCCAGCTGCTCTGATGGCAAGAGGGATATCCGGGCTTCGCTATCTAGAAAGATTCGGAGGCTATGGGAAGCAGAAGGAGTTAGGACAGCTGCAGTACCAGGTCATGACAGCCTTCGACTTCCTCATGGAGGACAATTTGCCTGCCGTGAGGGACACCATCGCCCTCTTGGCGGTCTCCATCGAACAGGCGAATTTGGATGGGGGCCGAATGGACCTGGCGACATTGCTATGTCTACAGGAGGACCCTCCGGCTGCCATCTTCCAAAGCCGTCAGATATCCAGCACAAGCCGGGCAAGAAGTTTTGCACCCCTTGCCGATCAACGTTGGGTGACATCATCCCTGGCGTTTCTGAAGGAAATGGAGGTGATCAGTGCAAAGCGGGCGGAACTGACCGGAGGCCCAAGGGCCAATTTGGATGCTTCCTCCGAGACTGCAAAGCCAAAGCCAAAGACCCAGCCAAAGCGAAAAGGAAAGGGAAAAGGACAGACTCAGTCCGAAGAGACAGAGGCAAGTGTATGAACCCTGACGCCACTGACATGCATGATGATTCTGGTGATTGCACAGATGAGGGACTGGAGCCAAGCCCTCTTCGCCAGAATATGGATTTTCACAAGTGGGCCATTTGTTTGCCTAGATGGATTACCAGGTGTCGCACAGCTTTTTCTTGGCACCTGGCAAAGTCGTTCACCGCATCATGGCAGGTTGATTCCTTGCCTTCCGCGACCTTTCCACTGCCTGCTCCTCACCCTGGATGTTTTGATCGCAGTGGCCCTGGTCTTTCGAAGTTGAAGCTGCAGACCTTAGCAAAGCAGAGGGTTCTTCATATCCTTGTGTATTGTTTGAACTATCTATACTTGGGTCGGCATCCATCAGCTCTTGAGATTGGGAGGAGACCTAATGCCTGGCACTTCAGATGTTTTCAGCGCTTGCGTTCTCTTTTGGTTGCGTGTGGAGCCAATGGTCAGACTTTTCCTGTCGTACCAGGTCGCTCCGGCCCTGAATTAGGTGCTGCTATCTTCCAGTTGGAGAACTTTCTTGCGAAGAATGAGGAGTTCAACAACACCTATGTGGCCCAAAAGCCTGCCCTCTTCTCTGAGGACCCTGACCTGCTCTCCACCACAGAGCATCCTGAACTTGCGCCCTACAGGAATTTGGATGCAAAGAGGTTGAAGCTGGTCGGAAATGGCGCATGGCCCATGGAGAAGTTTTTGGAGGGCCCACTTTGGCTGCCATTTCAAGAACCAAGATTTTTGCTCCACGGTGAGGATGTTTCGCACTTCGCCTTCCCTTCGTTTGTGCATGAGGATGAAGATGAAAACCTTGAGCTCTGCCGCCTATGGGATGCACGAGGGCTGTTGAGGTTTTTCAAGTCGCCTATCATGCCTGGCCACTACAGCAGAGTTTTCAATGCGTACAAGAACCAGGAGGTGGACAGACAGATAGGTGATCGTCGCATACCAAATGCTCGGGAACGGTCAGTTGATGGGCCATCGGCCTACCTCCCTCCTGGGTTTTTGCTGTGCAACTTGAGGGTCAGACCTTTTCAGGAGCAGCTTTTTGCGAGCGTCACGGACCGGCGTGACTACTATCATCAGGCATCAGTCACACCAGAGAGGGCCAGGTCAAACATGCTGCCCTTCGCGTTTGCAGAGAGCCGGCTTGTTGACTTCAAGGCCGCTGAGACCTTCAAGAAGAGCGGGGCCTCCGCATCTCGGCGTCGAAAGCCTCAGGAGCAGACTGGCGATGGATTTGGATTTTTGCCGCCTGCCCCGGAGGAGCCTGGATGCTGGTATGCTGCTTTTGGTTCACTTTTTCAAGGCGATCATTTGGGCGTTGAGTTTGCACTTCAAGCGCATGAGGCCTTGCTTCAATCTCATGGGCTGCTGGTTGCTGAGCGGCGTTTGCAGGGCCACCAGATTTTCCCTGTTGGAAATGAGATTGAGGGCCTTATCATCGATGATTTCTTTGCGATTGGGAAGGAAAGGCTTGACTCACAGCCTATCTCCTCCTTTGCGGCGAAGGCCCTAGCAGCTGCTCGAGAGGCCTATGAGTTCCACAGGCTACCTGGGTCTCCTGAGAAAGATGTGGAAGCAGAAACCTTTTTCAAGGCGGCCGGAGCCGAAGTTGACTCCTCCAGTTTTGCAGTTAGGAGGGGACTCACAACAGTTGCGGCACCACTGTCAAAGCGGCTTGGACTTTCCGTTCTAAGCCTGCGTGCAGCAAGGCTTGCCTCTACCTCTTCAAGGCTGTTGTCAAGACTTGCTGGAAATTGGACTTCAGTCCTGATGTTCAAGCGGTGTCTCATGGCTACAGTTGATGAAATGTTTGCCCTAGCTGCAGAGGCCGAGAAGATTGGCAAGAACTATGTGATTCACCAGAGTCCTGCAGTCAGAACTGAGCTCATCATGCTTGGAGCGCTGGCCCCCATCATCAGTACGAACATTGCCACAAGCATGTGTCCCTATGTGTTTGCGTCTGATGCCTCTCTTGGGAAAGGAGCCGTTGTCTGTACAAGTGTGGAAGAGAAGGTCGCTGAGGCTATGTGGGTTGGAGCAGACAAGAAGGGCTCCTACTCCAAGCTTGACAGTTTCCCCTGCGACCTTCTTGCTGCAGCGGGAGAAGAGTTGTCTGGCGATGTGGAAGCATGTGAGTTCGTTGTCGAACCCAAAAGGCCTTTGCTCATGTACTACGATTTTGTCGAGTTCTTTGGTGGTTCAGGCCGTGTTTCCCAAGCTGCCTACAGACTAGGCCTGTGTGTTGCTCCTCCACTTGACCTTGATGCCTCCTGCCACTATGACATGACTCAGCCTCGACTGCTTGAGTGGGCCTTCCATATGATTGAGTCTGGGCGTTTTCGCTCTTTCCTCACTGAGCCTCCCTGCACAACCTTTTCGGCAGCAGCATATCCGGCACTGAGATCTTACAAGGAGCCTTTTGGTTTTGACCCGTCTGAGCCGAGAACTGAGCATGGGAACCTTTTGGCATTCAGATCTTTTCCGCTCCTGCGCCACGGTAGGCGACACCGTAGGCCTTGCGGAAAGGAGCAGCCCAGGAGATCAAAGATGGCGTGGTTGCCTCAGTGGCTCCGGCTCCTCGAGATCGGTTTTGAGGAATCAGTGATCGCTTCCTGCCAGTTTGGCTCGCCTCACAGAAAGGAGTTCTTGCTGCTCTCGTATGCCCTGGATAGCCAGTCCCTTGAAGTGCGTTGTCCTGGAGGGCATGACCATGTGAAGATCGAAGGCAGCTACACAAAGGCCTCTGCTGTCTACACTCATGAGCTTGCCCATCATTTGGCTCTGCATTTCAAGAAAGCTTTGCGATGCTGTGGCGCCATCGATGATGAGCCGCCTGTCACTGGGTACGAGAGTGCTGTTGTCAACGATGTGCTGATCTCCAGACAGTTCAGGGTCAGGCGCTGCTGGGCATGGAGAAGGAAATCCCATATCAATGTCCTTGAGGCCAGATCTGCCCTTGAGATCATCAGAGAGGCGTCGACTCGGTTTGAGTCGCACAGGGTCAATGGACTTTTGGACTCCAGAGTTGCAAAGGGCGCTTTGGCAAAGGGCCGCAGCACTTCGTTTGGCCTCCAAAGGGTTTGCAAAATGTCAGCTGCTCTTCAAACTGCTGCTGATGTTCAGATGGCCTGGAATTTTGCCCCAACCAGACTGAATGTTGCGGATGACCCAACCAGAGACTGCCTTGTCCGGCCGCCTTGCGGGTTTGGGCTTTCTGGCTTCCTCGATGTACGGGAGCTTCAGCTTTTGCATGCCTCGAGTCTGTCAAAAGTTGCCGCAAATTGGGTACGTCTTGTCGCGGTCCTCCTCCTCAGCAACTTTGTCGGAGTTGAAGCTTTTGAGTTCAGGCCTGGATTTGAAAGCACACATGAGGTCATGACAGATTGTGCCAGTCCGTTTTGCCATGTACCATTTGAGATAGGGCAGGGCTCACTATCAGGTTGGTTTCAAGCTGCTTTGGATTTAGTCCTTTGGATTTTTGGGACGGCAGCCTTCCAGCTCCGAGCATGGGTTCTCGATGAGGTTTTTGGTTTTCTCCCGTGGAATTTTGGCACAGCCCCTTACCTCTCTATCCCTCTCCATGCCCATTGGATTTTCTGCTCTTTCCTCGCTGGACTTTGGACTTTCCTCTGGACTTTCCTTTGCAGCATGCCCAGCTACCTCCCTAGTGTCAGCCTCAGCTTTGGACTTCTCACTGGATTTCTCCTCAGTCCGTGTCTCTGCCGTGTCTGGAAAGTTGGTCGGTGCGCTGGGTTTTGGAGTGTCTTGTGTCTCCTAGCCGTTGCCCCTGAGCGTTGGATTTGGGTCGGGCCCGTCGGAGCGTCAGCCATGGAACCTTCCTCAGCAGCTGATATCAGACGAGCTGGCTACCGTGACCCTCAAGGTATCCTGCCTACGCGTGTGGCTCGGAAGGCAACTTTGGATGCACGGACGAAGCTGCTGAACGAGTTTGGGACATGGCTGTTTGAGTCTCAGGGGGTCCTGCTGACTCCGCTTTTGACTGCGAAACCTGCAGACCCTGAAGAGATCTGCAAGCATTTGATTCAGTATGGTCAGCAGATGTTCCTTGCTGGGAGGGCCTATGGGAAGTTTGCTGAAACAATCAATGCGATTGCAACTTTTCGACCTGCTTTGAGGAAGCAGTTATCACCGGCATGGGACTTAGCTTTTGCTTGGTTGGCGGACGAACCGTTTCAGCACCATCCTGCATTACCCCTGAGTATCCTCCTGGCCATGTTGGCAACAGCGATCCTCTGGGGCTGGCCTTATGAGGCTTGTGTGCTGGCGCTTACATGGACTGGAATCCTGCGGATCGGGGAGACCATCATGGCAACAAGAGGAGATCTTATTCTCCCGTCAGATGCAGCTCCAGGCACAACATTTGCACTCCTTAGAATCAGAATGCCGAAGACCAGGGGGAGGGCGGCACGGCACCAGGCCGCCCGTGTTGACCCTCCAGACATTGTGAGTTTGCTGCAAGCTACCTATGCTGACTTCCCTTCGGAGAAGAAGCTCTGGCCGCTGTCTGCAACCACACTGCGAAAGAGGTTCACCTGCTTGCTGAGGGAATTAGGGCTGCCTTCAGTTCGACAGGATGGCCTCCGACCTTTCGATCTTGGTTCACTCAGGCCCGGAGGCGCGACACACTTGCTCCTCGCAACTGACAACATTGATCTGGTCCGCAGACGTGGAAGATGGGTAACCATCAAAGTCTGCGAAATCTATTTGCAGGAGGTGATGTACGTGACATACACCGAGAAGCTGCAAAAAGGTGAGAGAGACAGGATCCAGACTCTGGCAAGTGCATTTCCCAGAGTCCTACAAGTCGCCATCAGTTATCTCCATGCTGGGTTGCCACCTTCAGTATGGAATATATCTTTCAAAGCCCAAGACAATCAGGAGCATGGGGCGCATGGGGTCAATGGTAGATCATGCAGCAGCTCATGCAAACAAAACTGCAAAGCTGCCGATGGAAACCAGAATGATGCGGTGAACAAAAGAGGCGTGTGCAACTTGACTTCAAGTGCATCAGCAGATGTGAGAAGCGCCGCTCAAGCTCCCACCCCGGCTGCGCAATCCCGCCCTGATAGATTGTCAGGCTTTGGGTAGATCATGCAGCAGCTCATGCAAACAAAACTGCAAAGCTGCCGATGGAAACCAGAATGATGCGGTGAACAAAAGAGGCGTGTGCAACTTATATATATATACAACATATATATATATTATATTATACATACAATTATTTCTAGTTAGACATGATTAACATACTAACAAATATTATCATCTAACAATATGTGTATCCTGTATATGTGTAGAATATCAATCAATATGTTTATGTCGTCATACATCTTCCAAAGAGAGCCTGGACAGTCTGGAAGCGTCCTTGGTTGCCGAGTGTGAGGTTCCTGGTTCACTTTGCAGGAGGAGAAACCGAAGGAGCAACCCATGGCCTTCGATAAGGAGGCAGAGTCAGATGTCAATTCCAACGAAGCACACAGGGATCATCACACGCCATCACATTACCACTAGGACTACCTGGGGCCACCTCTCACGAAATGGCTTTGGGCAGGAATCAGCTCATGTCACCTCTATGTTTCAGACACTTTCACATGCTGACACTTTCAGACAATGCTCTTCCAGAGCAAACCATGCGAGTTGCCTTTTACCATTCCAGTGCTGACGAAGTCCTTTTACCATTCAAGAGGCTGTGAATGCGACTCGTTCACAGTGAAGTGGCTCAGCTTTGCTCAATTTGCTTCGCGGACTTTATTTCCAAAAGGAGCGTTGGCCTCCAAAGGCACCGATACACATCAGCTTACCACAAGTAGGCCTTGGTTATATAGCTACCAAAAGGATCACTTTCTCTTGAAGTTTCTGCTTTGTAGAAAATATCTTATGTATACACACACATATATATATAATTATATGTATATATATATAATATTTGCAGTATTTCAGTATTTCGCAGCTAGGAAAGGTGTCCCAGTGTGCTCTGGGGCCTTGGTGGCCATGGCTTTGTCTTGTACAGCTGTCTCCTGCGATGAATGGCGAGAAAAGCTGGGAGCTGCAAAGACAGCTTGTGAGGAGAAGCATAGCGGAAGCTGTGGCAGAAATGTTATCAACTGTTCATGTTTGCTGAGACATCTGAGTTGGCCGATCATGGTCGATCATGGCAGGAGTCCCGCTACTTTGAGGCGGTGCAGCTCATCAATGCAGCGCTAGAGGCTGGAAAATGCTGGAAAGCTATCTTGATGCGGAATCAGAGCCGTCAAATGACATCATGTGACCCAATGAATGCAGTTGCCATCACTTACCCAGTCACTTGCACCCTTCCTGGTGAAAGATGGTTCTCATTCTGCTTCGTTTTGCCGTTGAACAGGCCTTTGAGCCACATCTGCCTGCGGCCAAAGATCGCCCTGGGCAACTGCTCACCGAGCCGCAGCGTTTTGTTCAGGAGTGATATATGCTATGGCCTGCTATGGTCAGAGGTTGGAGTATCCCATATTTATGGATGGCCATCACTGGGATCTACCCATGACGAGTTAGTATGGATATCCCCTGTGGGATGGATCACCATGATCACCATGATCACCATACCCCATATGGCCCATATATGTGACCATAGCAGCGCTTAGCACATATATGTCATGTGTTTTTTTTTTCTGTTTTTTTTGTGACTTTCGAAAGGGTCCATCCGATCCATCCAGTGTCCAGGGGGTTTGTCAGGAGACCAGAGATTCATTGGGCGATGCTGCAGAGAACCTTGCAGATCTTTGGGCCACCCGCGCAGACATCTTGATGAATCTGGGTGGTTTGAAGCGTGCCTCCAACGTGCCTTGTCAGGAGGCTTTGAGCATTTCACCATATATATATGTATGTATATATATAAATATGTATATATATATATATGTATATATATATATATAAATATGTATATATATATATATATATGTATTTCTAAATACAATTTTTGCTACCATGTACACTATGTGCACTCCAAGATTGTTCATAGCTGACAGGACCATGAGCAGCAGCCCGAAAGAAAAACACAACATACTTGGAATGCGATGCGCTTGAACATAAAAATAAAGATAACAATGTAAGCATTCTCTCTACAGCTGAAAAATAAGGGCTCTCGCGCTGCTAGCTCCTGCCATGCTGCTGCCAAGCCTGGAGCTGCTGTAAAGCTTGAACCTTCCCGCTGCCATCGTCAAAGTCTGTGCTTCCATGATGTATGAAACTGTAACATTGTAGCTGTGTCCTATTCAGCGCTATTGAAACATTACCACTGAGCTGCATTGGTTAGTCAAATTCAATACTGTATTTTTGGCAAGTTGAATCACTGACGCACCGCCAATCGATTTCTCCCGTCCCTTTTCTCTTCAACTAGCAGCAGATCCAGGTTTTGAAGTTTGTGGATGCTTCAAACGCCAAACCTTGATAAGTATGTATGTGCCAGTAAGGGTGTAACAAGTACAGTGCAGGTCTACGTAGCACAGGTTTCGCTGAGGAACAGCGACCCTGAGGCGGAGGTGTGGCAAAAGTGTGGCAGTAAGTTCGCTTCAGGTGTGGCACGTGCTTTGCAAGAGTGTGGCAGTAGTGTAGTGGCGGAGGTGTAGGAGTATTTGAGGTGTGGTAGAGTTGTGGTAGAGATCATGGTAGAGTCGTAGAGAATAATCCTAAAGTTCCATGGTATGTCAACGTGGGAAATTCCAACGAGTTTTTTTCCCCCTCGGGTGCCTCAGGAGTTAGCAGCAGCCCTGGAACTCGCCCCAGAGGCTGGCTGACAATCGGAGATCCGGTGAAGCTGGTGCCAAAAGAGACGATGACCATTCCAATCAATTAAATACAATTAATGAATCCACACCTCTGATTCCACGCAAAGTGAGTACAGGATACAGGTGTAACTCATCGGTATGACCACCGCTCGAAATCATAAAATATCATAAACCTATCCACCGGCAGTTGAACAAGGTTTCGGTTTTGGTCCCTACTGTTGATCCCACCGTATCTATGCGCGTTGTAAGAGATGTGAAGCGGTTTGAATGACAAGAAGAGAATGGCTTCCCGATTTCCCAAGCTCTTTGGACACCTTCCTTGGCTTTGCCAAGAGAGGCAAAACGAGTGAAGGACTTGCAGGAAGAGTGCACGAAATTGGAGCAGTACCAGGCCCTTCGAGACTCTAGTCCCAAAAACAAATCCCAACTAGTGGAGAATGACAGTTTTCACGACATTCAGTGGAAGAGCGAGATAAGTCATGCAAACACGAATCGCATTTTTCAGGAGGAAGGCATAGCAGAAGAAGCCCTGGCAGCCGCACAAAACAAGGCAACGAATCTGAGATGCAAGTGCGATACTTCCCACGTTTGTTTTTACATGAAAATGCTTTGCTGCCACATTGGGGAGGAGGGGCAAACCTGGCCATGTAGAGTGATCAGAGTCAACTAGCACGAACATTTATGCAACAGCCTGACGGCGTCTTGCTTTGAAGCAAGGTTGCAGTCTGAACATCTTGAAATTTCGTAAAAACATGTGAACACATTTGACATATTTTGACATCAAGTCTTTGCGGAGGTACCAGCGCACATTTTGACTGGTTTCTTGGGCTCTGGCAAGACCACCTTGCTAAATCACATTCTCCGAGAGCCTTGGAGTGATTATCAGATCCAAGTCAGCACTGAAAGTCTGTCCGTGTGGAAAGGAAGAATGGAAAGGAAGAATGGAATGAAACACTTCTAAGTTTAAGATGTTTTAAGTTAACACTTGTTTTGCCTGACGCACCTTCTGGCTTGTTTTTACAGTCTTAGCCAGAGCAGGAAGCACAATAATGATATAATACATATTCATCCAGCATATCCGACAGTGCACAACAGGTTAGGTCCAGTGACAGTTTGTGTCAAACATTATTCTTGTGTTTGCGTAGGAAACACACGGGAAGCGCTTTGCAGTAATCGAAAACGAATTTGGCGAAATTGGAATTGACGACAAATTGATCGCTCGGCGAGAAGACCTCGGAGCCGAACAGATCATCGAGATGAACAACGGCTGCATTTGTTGCACAGCAACTTGTCACAATTTGTCATAGCAAAGTGGCACACTTCAAAAATCTTCAAAACACTTGTGGTGTTTCGATACTTTTCGTGCTTCCTCTTTGCGGTGAGCAACTGCATGAGGTCAGAGGTGACCTCATTCAAGGTCTTCGCAGCATTTTGAAGAAGACCACTCTAGACGGCCACAAGCTGGATGGAGTCATCATCGAAACCACGGGATTAGCAGATCCTGCACCTGTGGCCCAAACTTTTTTTGCAGATGATGTGATCCAGGCGAGAATCACCCTGGTGCCTGGACAGAGAGGGAGAAGAAAAAGGCTGAACGGGCCGAAAGGGTCATGAACTTCTGGGACAAGTCCTACTCCGACTCAGATTCAAACTGAGTCACGGTTGTGCACCATTTTTCTCTAGAATAGATAAAATAGCACGGCAAAGGATTGACACCATGACAGTAGGATGTATGATGGTTGCCATCCTTTCCTTGGAACCTACTCGACTGAACTTGTGACGCAATCAACTTGACATGTTGAGATTCACATGTCTTGGGTTGATGTTCTTAGAAACTGCTGCATCAGAGCTGTGTACTCCACAAAGGATTTTTAATAATACTGTATAATATTGTATAATGTATTATATATATAATATAAGATTCAAACAGCAGTCAATATCACATTTTTGATGTGTAGAGCTTGATAGAGCTTGAAGCTTGGCTACATGGCCATGGTCGCTCTGCGGCTTGGCGAGGATGGCATCATAACTGTAGTGGATGCGAAGCACTGCCTGCAACACTTGCACGAAGAAAAACCTGACGGTGTGGAGAACGAGGCCGTTGAGCAACTTGCCTTCGCTGACCGCATCATTGTCAACAAGACGGATTTGGTGCGAGAACTTAGTGGGAGACCGTACATGCCATGGGTTTCGGTGCTGAGGATGCAAATCGATAGACTATCTTGAAGTGTTCGCTACTGAAGGATATGACAGGATTCTTGGGATTTGTTTTCTTCAGGTCACCGAAACTGAGCTTGCGGAACTGACTCGAGAGATTCGGAAGATCAATGGCGTAGCACCCATGATCTACACCCAGAGCCATGCTGGCATTGCTGCTGGGAGGTCGCAGTGGGAGTATCAGCCGTTTACCTTGGGACAGTCACAACGGTCATTGATGCATTGAAGCTGGCCTGAAGAGACAGACGCTGCAGCTTTCCAAGGAACTCCAATGTGCAGGTTGATGAGATCATTGGACTCTCGTTTCAAACATAGAAATCAGTTGTTTGAATTCTTTCATGGGATTTGGGTGGATTTGGTGCCGCAATACTGCAGGATCTCAATGGATTTCGATATTTTCGTATGGTGCAAAGCTGTGAAGCGTTGCGACCCAGGCATCAGAGGCTTCTCCCTGGACCGCGTCCTCGAGAGCGATGCCGGGTTCCTGAAGGATGATCAAGATCACCAGCACGATCAATCCGTCAGCTCTGCCCTTTGGCCCAATGGGAGGATCCAATGGCATCCATGGCATCCATGGCATCCAACTTGGCTTTGGGCTCTTTGGGTCATGAAGCCAGATGGGAGGATGAGGATGATGCGGAAGATGAATATGAAGATGATGGTGGGACTTGGGACTTGGGACTTGAGCAAATCAACTTTCAGCCAAAGTGCATATAGCTGCCTAGCGACAACGATGGTTCCGACACATGGTCCTGCCTAAGGTCGGTATCGAGTGTGCTGGTGAATGCGATCAAGAAAAGCTGAACAGCTGGATTGCAACGCTTCTGCGTGAACGTGGCACTGACATCTTTCGAACAAAAGGCGTTTTGGCAGTGACCTGATCAGAATCAAGAGCTGAAAGAGCAATCCTCTCACCAAGGCATTTTGATGCATTTTGTAAACTCTATGTAAACTCTTTATAAATCATAGATTCAGAAACACATGGCCGCTGTGACCTCGTGGAAACGAAGACATGCTGGAACAAGGAATCCAGATGAACGCACAGAAAGTTTAAGCAACTGGAGCACCAGTAAGACACATTGGGATCCGTCTTGTTGAGGAAGGCCTGCCTTGGAAACCATTCCCTTGGTTGCATGTTTCAAAGCAGCCACAGATACTTCGAGACTAAGGTGAAGGGCTGTGATCAACGGTTTGTCTTCCAAGGCACAAACAGATGGAGAATGCAACGCTTTTGATCAATCTATCGATTGAGTATGATTGAGCAATGGATTGATCAAGCTGCTCTTTTGGACAAATATTCCAGTTGACCCTGAATAGCAAGACCTATCACATATATTATTCACATATTTAGGCTCGGGAGCATGAATCTGATGCTGAAAGTGTCCGTGAAGATCTGGAACAGCACCAAGTCAGGCATCCACATGATCTTCGGCGGGCAGCCACAGAATGATTGGGGTGGAGAAGAACGGATCAACAAGTCCCTTGCTGAGCCTTGCTGTAACAGCATTTGACTTTGAAGACTTGACATGATGTCGATGATGTGACTAAGATGACTAAGATTGCAAGAAGCCTTTGGCTCTGCCTGATGCAAAGTACTGTATCTATATAAAAGTTTCGTTGTTGGTGGTCAGCCTCAGGATGCCAGCATAGCTCAGCATTGCAGCATTGCAGGTTGTTTTTTTGATGCATCCCGTGAATCCTTGCACGTGTCTCAGGCTCATCTTCATTGGTCGAAATCTTGATAGAGAGGAACTGCACAGGGGCTTCCAAGCCACCTTAGCCTAGCACCTTGACTTCCAGGACTGTGCTGTTGGCTCGAACATGTCAAGTTTTGATCCTTCCGTTGAAGATATAGAAACGCAGGTTTTTTTGATCTGTAAATGCCTTTGTAGTGTCTTGAAGCAAAAAGAAACTAAGTACCCCAATCTCCGAGAGATTTCATGCTCCAGTTTGAGATCTCTAAATCCTTTTCATAGCTTGAGATATGGCTGCTACTTGCAGGAAGTGCTTAGAAGATGGTGGCAATGGGCTGCAAAAAAGCGGCTCTTGCAGCTGCACAGATTTGACTTGATTCAGTCTTGGATGCTGAAACAGAGCTTATTCATGCTTATTCTTTGTATTTTCTTAGTCAACATTTGTCTGAGAGGGTGGGGTGTTTTCAGGGAAGGGATCCGATGAAGCGATGAAGCGTTGGAGTTCAATCGTCCAAGCGCTTCGCACAGGCTTTGCAGCGCTTGGCTGACCGGGCGCAGGCAGGAGAGCTGGAAGAGCCGCTTGACCCTCAGCAAGGGCCGCTGTATTTTGAACTATATATATACATCATATATATATATATACACGTGTATATATATATATAATATTGTCTAATGGCACAGAGTTTCAAACACCAATGTTGAGTAAATGAGCATGCCGGTTGAGCGTGGGAATGAATCACAATGCCTTTGACTTGCCTGCTCAAGTTGATAGGGGGTGGCAGACCATGGCGACGCTTGGATCCGCGGCTTATTTCCTGCTGAAAGGGGCTGGTGGCGTTTCTCACAAGCTGGTTGGACGAATAGTGGAGGCTAGCGAAGATTCTGTTGTGGTGGCATTATTGAGTTCAGAAGTCACAGCTGGCATCTCCCAAATTTTGACCGTGCCTGCAGCCAGTTCACAGCCCAGTTTGACTTTCTTGAGGATAGCCACCAGTGATTTCTCTTCAGTGACCCCGGCAGGATGGCCCGCCGCAACTCACCTTCCCAAACAAGCCATTTGCTTGGCTGCTTGGCAAGGCCTCGAAGATCCTTCTTTGGTGAGCAGCGAAGCCGAGAAGCCAGTGGCGAAGGTCAAAGGAGTTTCCAAAACAGTGCAAGAAGATATGGCCCGGCTTCGCAAGACTCTCACCCCAGACTCCGACGAAGACACAGAAGAGTCCTCAGAGGATGGCGAAGGGGGTCTCCCTTTTCCCAAGACCATTGGGTTGCTAGCCCCGGGTGCCAAGGGAGCAATCACTTCCAAAATGGGGGTCGAGCCGAAGCCAAAGAAGAAGGAGACGGATCCTTCCGCCGCCCTCATGACTATGATGGAGCAAGGGTTGGCTCAAGGCCAAAGTCCCGCCGACCTGATGCCTATGATGATGATGAGCTTCATGCTGAACCAGCAGACCCAGCAAGGCCGCAAGGGGCGCAAGTCGTCGGCAAAAAGCAGCGCTTCCACCGACCATGGTGGTTCCAGCTCCGAGAGCGACAGCGACAGCGATGCCATCTCTGGAAAAGGGATGAAAGCTGTGGTGACACTCCATCGCCTGCACCGGCGGATCAAGCGTCGGCCAGGCAGCATCTGCAAGAAGTTCGAGAAGGAGATCACCACCGAGTTGGGGATTGTGCCCGGCCAGCCTTGGACTCTTCGTCAATGGCTGGCCAAACAGCCCTGGGGGAAGTTCCGTGGAATCTACAGGTGCGCAATCCAGGATGCCATTGCCTACGAATATCTACGCAACGGTCAGCACGAAGTGGCGGCTGCTCAGCTAGCTCAGAACATGAAGTCGAAGATCCAAAGTGTGCTGCAAGGTGGGGACTGGAGTGTGGCCTGGCTTCTGACAGGCATAGCCGACCCACTCACGAAGAAGGAGTGGGGAGGAACGCAGGAGGAGATGGCCGTAGTCAGCGAGTATGTCAACGCCTTGGCCAAGCTGAAGAAGAAAGTGAAAGAAGCCAAGGATGCCAGCCAGGCCGAGGAGGGAGATTAGAATCCCATCCTTCAGCATCTTCAGTCACTTTGGTTGATTTCAAGAAGTTTTTGCATGACCAGCTTAAGGGTCGCTTGGATCCCTTGATGTCTGGATGCTCCAAGAATTCAAAGTTCGTTAGTTATTACGCCTGGCTTGAAAGTGCTCATGGTGCGTTGTCCATTGTGGCGGACAGCTCAGCAGCTCCTCTTTTTCCCTGCTCTCTACCTTACCCGGAGGCGTTTTACTCTGAAGGGGCAATCAGTGGCTTTTCTTCTAGGACCACGTGGGCACGTCGCTACCTCAATTCGTTTGTGGCTTGGTGCAACTATGTGGAACTGGGTTGCCCTGATTGTAGGGAAGGAGTGTGTGAGCCGCCAGTCACCTATCAGTCTGAGGCTTTTGCTCGGAGGTTTGCTGATAGATGGCTGGGCGAGGTGGAGGAATTCGGAAGCCTTGACCTTTTGAGTGGGACTTTGGAGTTACAAGGCGGCCGGTTTGCAGTGGAACAAGCTTTTGATTTGGTGAAGTGTACAGCTGCTGGCTATTTTAGTGAGGCCGGCGCCAACCTGTCGGGAGCTTTAGAGGTGCAAGTGGATCGTGTGGCGATTCCTGAAGCGGCTGGAACAGTGAACCCTGCAAGCATTTTGCCGGCAGATCGAAAGGCAGTCTTTGAGAATCTGGAGTCGTTGCGTCGGCCTGAGCCCTTGTGGGATCCGGTGGTGCCCTCTTGTCACCGTGTTGCCCCTCAGGAGGAGATTGGGTTGATGCGGAAATTGTTGAAACACAAGATGGTTGTGTTGGTACGGGAATGTGATCTCCCCAAAGATTCTTCGGGTCGTTTGTTAAATTCGGGTTTGTTTTGCGTCCCCAAAAACGAAGTTGAAGATCGCCTGATCTTAGATCGACGCCCACAGAATGCCACTATGAACAGATTATCGTGGGCAAAGCTGCCAGCTGGTGCTTGTTTTCCCCGGTTATTGTTGCAGCCAGACGAATACCTTCGGGGGTCGGGAGATGATTTAAGACATTTTTATTATTCTCTGGAACTCCCCTCCAATTGGATTAGGTATAACTCTGTTGGCCGTATTGTTGATCCTATTCTGGTGCGCGAATTTGGATATGATACTGCTTATCGATATAGAGCATGTTTTCGAGTCCTTGGAATGGGCGATCGGAATGCCTGTGACATCGCACAAGCGACGCATGAGGCCTTGTTGGAGAGCGCTGGTCTTCTCACTCACAGCACAACACTTATTTATGGAGAACCTGTACCCCCAGGGCCCATATATGAGGGAGTGTATTTGGATGACCTGCTGGTGGTTCAGAAATGCAAGATCGAGGAACCAGTACCTCTTGACGGGTCTTTTGTTCCCCCACCGCTCAGCTCCGATGACCAGGATCAGCGGCGTGTGCAACAAGCTGAAAAGGCTTATGCTGAGGTGGGACTCCCGAGAGCTGTGCACAAAGCATTCCGAGGTGAAACTGAATTCAAAGCATGGGGGGCTGAAATACATGGTATCCGTGGGACGGCTGGTGCCCCCCTTTTGTTTCGACAGCAGGTTTGGTTGCTTCTTTGTCGGGTTGTCAAATTGGAGTTTTGCACCAAACATATTTTACAGAAGCTGTTGGGGTACCTTTGTTTTGCTTTCCAGTATCGGCGTGAGCTCTATTCTTTGCAGCATCATATTTACAAGTTTTTGCAGAAGATGCCCAACTCTGGTTGGCGATCTTTGCCAGGTTTTATAGTGGATGAACTGCGATCGATGGGACTTCACTTAGCCTTTGCGTTTTGGGACATGAGACATCAAATTTCCCCTTCAATATTGAGTACCGATGCCACGCCCACGTCAGGTGGAGCTGCCCGGACCGAAGTGTCCGACCCTTTGGCCGCTGAACTTTGGCGGCGGAGTGAAGTACGTGGGTCAGCTGTGCGTCTAGATGAAAGTGACCTTCACCGCATGTTGAGTGAGTGGGAAGCTCCTTCAGAACCTTCTGCATGGGCTAGTGTATTGGGTAGAACACTTCATTGGAGGCCAACTAGTTCTTACACTTTCCGGCAAACCAGTCATATCAACTTGCAGGAAGCACGTGCCGTGAAAAATGAGGTTAAGAAATTAGCCCTGGAGGAGGAGTCCTGGGGAAAGATCCAGGTGAGCCTGAACGACTCTCGTGTGGTGTGCGGTGCCTTCACAAAAGGGCGTTCAAGTTCTTTCAAGCTCAACGGAATTTTGAGAAGCATGGTGCCATATTTGGTCTTTGCGCATTTGGTATTATCGTTTATTTGGGTGGAGACGGGTGCCAACCCAGCGGATTATCCCAGCAGATTCAACCCTATTCCGCCGCCCCTGCCTTGTCCTATGTGGCTGAGAAGCTTTGGGATGGGTATTCGTAGGAATATTGGTTGGGAACTTTTTGCAGGCTCAGCGAGGTTAACTTCGGCCCATATACATGCTGGTATACATATGTTGGACCCGGTGGATATTATATATGGTTCTGATGTGCTGTCGCCCAATATTGATGATACTATACTGATGCGCTGTCGCCCAATATTGATGATACTATACTGATGCGATTGCTTCTTTGGCTATGGATGGCTCCTCCCGGTGGTAGTTTTTCTCCTTTGCGGAATTTGGATCATGGTGGCCCCCTGCGACCTAGAGGCAACCCCCAAGGTGATGAAAGTAACTGGGAAATAGCTCGGGGGAACCAACTTTGGAGGCGAGCTTTGGAATTGGCTCATACTTGTCTATCATTGGGTATTTTCTTCTTCATTGAACATCCTCGGGGAAGCAAAGCATGGCAACTTCCTGAAACCCGTCGTTTGATGAATCGTCCCGGGGTCTTCTTGGCGGAAGTTCACTGGTGTATGTATGATGAGAACCGCGTAGGCGACCCCAACAAGAAACCTACTCGTGTTTTGACTTCTGCTCCTTGGTTCAAGAAGTTGGTTCGGGTGTGCGACCGTAGTCACCATCATGGTCCCCCTTTAAGAGGGAAGAGGGCAAAGTTGGCGGGAGCATATCCCTGGGGCTTTTGTCGGTTGCTGGCACAGGCTTGTAGTGAGTGGCAAGGATGGTGAGGTTACGCAATGCAGGTTTGTCAAGAGAGTATCGTCGAAATCGTCGCGATGCTGGAATATGGTTGCTTAACTTTGTGGCTAGTTTGGGACAAAGACTACACGCAAAGATGCCTTCTTACAAGATTGACTCTTGGTTGGAATTGGGTGTTCAACGTGCTTTTGACGAAGGTGTGAAGCTATACTATGTGACTCTGGGTGTCTTGTCTCTACAACAAAAACTTCATCTCTCTTCGCCCTTGTTGCGGAATACATGGCTGGCTATTAAGGGATGGCGATCGGCTCTGCCTTCCAAGACTCGGGTTCCTATCACTAGCTTTCGACTGGAGTGTGTGGTGATCACAGCATTGGGCAGGTGTGTTTCTACCAGTGGTCTCAGCAAGCGACAGTGGTTAGTGGTAGCTTTGGGGTGGTGGTTGTGTTTTGCATGTTTATTGCGGCCTGGTGAAGTCCTCAATTTGAGACGGCAGGACATTAACCTTCCTGAGTGTGATGCCGATCTGGAAGATGCAGATGCTGTGGTTATTATTAGGCGGCCGAAAACTAGGCGAATCTGGAGAGAGCAGTTTGTCCTGTGTAGTGACAAGAGACTAGTCCGATGGTTGTTTTGGTGGTTGGATGGGATGGCTAGTAGTCAGCTGGTGCTAGGTGTTTCTCGCTATATTTTTGCAAGCAGATTCTCTGACGCCTTATCCCGGATGGGGTTGGAGGATTGCAAGTATACTCTGGGTTCACTTCGCGCGGGTGGTGCAACTCACCATTTCCAACAGCATCGCAACCTAGGCGAGTTACAGTTTTTAGGACGTTGGACAGCAGCGTCAACCTTGCAGCATTATTTGATGGAAGCATTTTCTGCGCACGTGACTTTGCAGGCCAAGGCCAATGTGAGGAGTCAGCTTTCTTTTGTCCATGAACATATCAGCGTTTTGGATCATCCTCCAAAAATTCGGGCTCGAGACTTTTTGAAAACCAGTGGGAGGTGAAATTTGCAGTGCCAGAATTAGAGGCATTGCCTTATTTTACTGAATCTCATCAAAAGTCATGGGCAAAGCCGGAGGAAACCTTCCACGGAGGCCAATTAGCCGGCTCAGGAGTCGGGCGGCGGAAAGTGGAGAGCCACCTTCAAGTCACAAAGCTCTGGCCCCTGAAGTGGCTGAACCTTCCCATGCCCTGACGCGAGCTACAGCTGAAGACAGTACCACTCTGGCGCATGCCGCTGTTCGTGCTGTAACACAAGCTGCAGAAGCATGTGAAGGCATGGAGGTGGAACCGGGTATTAGTATGAACGAAGCTCTTTTGGACCCAGTGCATCGCGCGCAAGCAGCGCGATGGAGAAGTAGTCCCGAACACCGAAAAGTAGCGGCCATTTTGGCCAGGATGATGCAAGCTCTTCATGGGATTCGGCCTGCTTGGATCTCCAGCCCTGGAAGTCAGAACCCACCGGTTGCTGAGCCCTTACCGGTGCGGCGTGCTACCACTGCTGGTTCCCATGGCTCACTCCCAGCTGGAGTCCAGTGGTGCCTCCAGAAGATTCGTGCGTTTTCTTATGGATGGAAGACTTGGTGCCTGATAATGCTGCTCGTCATATTCCCCAAAGTTTTGGCTTCACTGCTAACGCTGATGGTTCGTCTTTGTGTCAGAGCTGGATTCGCTCTTGTAGCTCGCCTGATGAATGAAGTTGGTCGCGAAATGCATGGCTTGGTCCTACATATGACTCAAGCCTCTAACATGCTTGAGGAATGGGTGCTTCTCACCTTGGAGGGCTTGATTTCTGCTCCTGCACCCCAACAAGTACCAGTGCCTATGTCCTCTTCTTCTTCACCTACCTCTTCATTTCAAGTTCAAGGCGAGGGGGCCTGTGGGACATGCCCCCCTCCCTGCCCCCCCTGGAATTTCCTTACTGCTGCGTTAGTGGTTGTGGATATCGCGCTGCATCGCCGGCACCGGGGTGGGGCGGGTTGAAAGATCCAGCTGGATGGATGGATGATTTAATTTGAGATCGTTTCAAAGTGACCTGATGATCCCTATTTGCAACTGTCCAATGATCGTTTCAAAGTGCCGATCTGTACTGGATGGATTTAATTTGAGATCGTTTCAAAATGCTCTGACGATCCCTGTTTGCAACTGTCCAATGATCGTTTCGAAGTGCCGATCCTTTTTGCAAGCATCCAATGAACTTAGAGAACCAGCGATTAGCACAGCCTTGGCGAAAAGAATAGCTGGAGCGCTGCCCAAAGTCAAGGTGATGAATGCAGAGTTTGAATGGCACAGAGTTTCAAACACCAATGTTGAGTAAATGAGCATGCCGGTTGAGCGTGGGAATGAATCACAATGCCTTTGACTTGCCTGCTCAAGTTGACCTCCTCCGCCCCAGCCACCTCCTGGGTTGAAAGATCCAGCTGGATGGATGGATGATTTAATTTGAGATCGTTTCAAAGTGACCTGATGATCCCTATTTGCAACTGTCCAATGATCGCTTCAAAGTGCCGATCTGTACTGGATGGATTTAATTTGAGATCGTTTCAAAATGCTCTGACGATCCCTGTTTGCAACTGTCCAATGATCGTTTCGAAGTGCCGATCCTTTTTGCAAGTATCCAATGAACTTAGAGAACCAGCGATTAGCACAGCCTTGGCGAAAAGAATAGCTGGAGCGCTGCCCAAAGTCAAGGTGATGAATGCAGAGTTTGAATGTAATATTTTAAATATATACACATATTATGTAGATTCGAAACAGAGCAGAGCTCCTGAGCGCCTCATTTGATTTCAGTCAAGGCCACCTGTGGAGCCTCCTCCACCACCTCCAATGCCGGATATGTCGCTTGCCTATGCTAGCCTCAGTTTCTCTTGATCACATGATATCACATGGTCATTTTTTGTTGACATTTCACAACGAACAGAGTATAGTAGTGAAGTAGTGGATACAGACAGAAAACACAAGAAGCGTCGTCCCTTATGATGAAGATTTGGAGGCAGTATATCGAAATCCATTCGCTTCATTGGGAGTCCAAAGGTGGTTTCACTATTGCTGCACTTACAGCCGGTACCAGCGTTCAGGATGGATCCTGGCATGCGGGACATGGGCTATGGCCAGGTGGGGGGCCTTGGGGGCTGAAGCTTTGCAATAAGGGTGAAAGCGCAGACAGATTCAAGACATTTCAAAACAAGCAGGATACAACTGATACAACTTGCGTTTTTTCCCGGTTTGAGCAGAAAAGCAGGACAGATTATTAGCGAATGACGTTGACTACATCAAGGTTGCGCATAGATGTGCTTGAACTATGGCCAGACACGCACGTTGATATTTGGATGGGACCCAAAGGAAGTGTTTGTGTCTGCCATTGAGAGAAAGTAGCTTGATCAGAAACTTGATCAATCCGACAAACCATGCCTTTTGAACCAAGGGCATGGAGGAACGCTCCGTGGTCCTATCCTGAAATAAATCTCCAGAAATGAATCAAGCGGATGGTGGTTTTGGTGATGTCGGATTTGCTTTGATGGTTTTTACGGATTGCAAGATATGGATCCAGATAATGACTTTTGATATGCACTCTTTGTGAAGGAGGTTATTTGCGGGAGTGGTTCTAATTGCGGCGTAAGTATTGAGCCTTAAGACCTTCAAACTAATTACATAGCCACTTTATGGGACTCTTTCAGAGAATTCAAATGGCTGACGCTGATGGATTGCAGATTGATTTCTGGTTGGTGACAATGCCTGCTCTCGCTCAGTATGCTCAGTAAGCTTATGAGCAGCCCTGGGGCATTGTCCTTCGGAAATTGTGCCTCCGGTCCATGAGCATATTTTCACTAGGCAATTTGGATGACCTTAAGTGGTTTCATTGCAATGGGACTGGATCATTTGAGGTCCGAGATATCCTTGGCTTGCCTGGCAATTCCATGAGGCCGCATGTTGTCATGATCAAGTCCCACTTCTGCTAAGATAAGAGTCATGTTACTGTTAATACATGTTAATACAATTTAATACATCATTTTCAAGTTTCATCGCCTAGCAAGCTGAAAAGCGTCTTATGTTTGACAGAACGTGTGTTGTGTTGACATCATCTCGATCACCGCACCAGCTGAACCCTTTGCCTCAGTTTACCGCTGGATGGTCCTCCAGCTGGAAGCTTGGGTGAACGCGCGTCTCCGCAGATTTGGTGTTTCTGGTGCTGAGCGAAGAAAAAGGAGGATGTACGAGAACGTATACCACAGTAACATACAGTAACATTAAAGATCATTAAAGTATGAACATGTGTTAAAATCATTTAAAATCACGTACACACAAAAGATACATGAGCAATCATGAGCACTTATACCTTTATGAAGTAGATTGAACTGGAGAAGTCTGAACAAGTCGCCAACCTCTCAGGCCCCGCCGGTTCCAAGTGCCAACGGCCTCAGTTTGCGAGTTTTGGAATCAGTTTGCGAAAAGGCTATGACATTTTTTTTGGCAAACAAGAGTTTTGAATAGTTTCGAGACTTTTGGAAAGGGGGAACAGACATTCACAAGACGAGTGGGAGAAGAACTTCAGCCCGAAGCCAACTGAGATGCCTTTTGAGGTGATGCCTGGCAGCGCTCAGCCCATGACCTTTGGCGCGTCCCAGCGGAGAATGTCACCGACCCAGGACGAACTCAACGGATTTCCCATGGATTTCGTTGCTTCGGGAATCTCACTGACTGGCAAAACTAGATAGGCAATGATAGGGATGGGCAGCTGGGCATAAAACATTTCTTTGGCTCGGTCAGTTTGGCGAGAGTTTGTGGAAGGTGTGTTCGTTCCACCTGCCTGCTATCACCATTTGTCAGCCAAGGCCGGAGCTCACAACGTTGAAAGGCTTCCTTCGGAGGGGTGCCTTTGACGAGGGGGTCTCAGAGGGACCTTCCCAGAGTCAAGGAATATGGACTTGAGATTTGTAGGATGTTGACAAGACACAAGCATGGCCTTTCGACGTCTTGAGAGCTATGCCGTGCCCATAGTTTGCTACCACTTAAAGCACCAAACGCGAACGGGAATCTCATATCTGCGTTGCAGCTTTGCAATCCTCTCCAAGGATGAAATTCCGCAGACCAAGAAAGATGCTGATTCTGTGCAGAAGATGCTAGAACGGCTACAGGACTGCCACGGGTGAATCGTTGGCCATCAGGAGGTTTGTCTCAGAACAATTGAGCTGGAATGCTGACTTTGCACAAATCATGATCAGACTCGGAAAGCACAGGACACCAGGGCCTTAGTACATGGCAGAGCAGAGCCCATTGCGCAAATTTCCGAGTTTCGGGGGAAACTGAGCAAATCAGGTTTGAGATCGACCGCCGCAGTGATTTCTATTCAAAATCAGTAGATGGCGTGACGGCTCGCGTCAGCGTTTGCGAAGTCCAATGCGTCAACGTTCTCCATGTGTACATGATGAACCCAGCAATTGTATTCATCCCAACATTCTTCATCCGCAGGCGTGGCATTCTTTCAATCTCTACCTCAATATCCCAGTTGGTTTTGCAAATACTTTTTTTCCGGTTTTTCCGGAGTCCATTTGGTCACGAATTTACAGTCCCCAGGTTGATTGAAGTTGTCCACTGACTGCTGTAGAAAGTATTTTTAAAGGAGTCCTTTATTGAGATGGAAGATGAAACTCGGTTGCAACAATATGCAACACATACACAATATTACATAATATATAATAATATAATAATATATAATAATATGTATATTTTTTAAATACCTTAATATAAGCAGCTGCATACACTGTTGCTACCCTGTAGGTGCAGCAGCTCTTCTTGACGCTCCTTGTGTCGCTTTCAGCCAGCATCCTACTAGGCGTCTTCATCCTGTTCGTCCTATTTTGCTTTCGACGACGGAATACAGCGCTTGCCCAGGAAAAAGAGGAAGAACCGCCAGAGACAAAACCGTGCGGTACATCAGACGACGTGCCGTATCCCAAAGTAAGTGTTCTCCAGCAATTCCTGGGGCGGGCAGTTTCTCAGTTATGAAAATTCAGTACATTGTCAGATTCTTTTTGCTCCAGTGAATAAAAACAATGTCAACAAACTTGAACACGACCCTGAAACCATTTGAGGCAGAGGAGCCGACCAGCCCTGCATTGAAGAGTCCACAGGGCATAGTCACATCTGAGCAGCTGCTCTACTGTGCAGTTCAATGTGCAGAACTTCTTTCTCCTCACCTTGCTGACAATGGGACACAGCTTGTGGCGCTGTATTTACAGCCTGGGCCACGACTGATTGCGGCAGTGCTGGGAGTTTGGCTTGCACAGTCTGCTTGGACACCCTTGGATCGGAAGAGTCCCAAGAGAAGGCTGCAAGACTTGGTGAAGCAGATGCAGCCCAGTGCGGTCATTTGTGATGATGATGCACCCTTCAAGCAGCTGGGTATCCCCTTGGTTCACGCCCAGAAACTCAGCTTCAAAGGTTCCAAAAGGATTGCGCAGTGTGAGGAGTCTCTTGAAGGGCTGGCACAGGTGATTTACACGTCAGGCTCTACGGGTACGCCAAAGGGTGTGATGTACACACACAGCCGCCTGGCACATTCCACCCACTTCTTCGCGGAGCAGTGTGGAGTCTCTTCGTCATGCAGGGTCTTGCAGAAGACACCCAACATTTGGTCGGTGTTTCGCCATGAGGTCTACCCTGCACTGTGCAGAGGAGGGCTCATCATCCACCCAGAACCACATAGGGCCAGCGATCCAATACATCTTGCAGAAGTCATCACCTCCAATTCTGTCTCTTTGCTGGTTGCAAGCTCAGTTGAGCGACTAGTTTCGTTGTATATTCAACCTGCAAAGTGATTCATACTGATTCATATCCCCTGAATGCTTTCAAAGCAAACACGCCTCTTTCTGCATGCTTTTTGCTTCCGTTTCCTGCGATAAACATCCAAGCATTGAAGATGTAGGATTTGATATTTGACAGGTGTCAGACACAGCATAATGATACCGAAGAAGCGTGTTCTTTACTGCCAGGTTGCGACGCCGACAGTGCTGGAGCTCATCTTGGACTCTGGAGAAAGCTTGTCCAGTCTGCAACGAGTGGTTTGCATGGGTGAGCCTCTCTCATGGCGGTTAGCAGGCATCCTCATGAAGCAGCTTCCGGCAGTGCAGATCATGAATTTCTACGGCTCGACTGAGACAGAAACTCACCCTGATTAATATCTTACTTATCTATACTTATCTTATGATAATGCCCGGTGTATGATGTGTTAAACAGGAAACACATGGAAACACACCAACGTCTCAAAGCCTCAGAACCGCAACTTTGCAATGGAACACAATGAAGTTCTTTTAGCTTGACAGCCATGTTTCTCACTCCACTCTTTGAATAGCATCACCGAAAATG